GGGAGAGAGGGATGGAAGAGGGTGAGGTGCTCAAAGGAGGGGAAGCAGCAAGAGGAGGCTTTGGAGATGAGGGCCACCTCACCGCCACGTTGGTTTGCACGGGGGTGTGTGGTGGAAGGAGTAGCCTGGAGGGGAGGCTTCAACTAGGGTACGGGGTCATTGGGGAAGAGCCAGGCCCAATACACCACTAGCACAGACCCAACACAGCCTCAATACAGTACAAACCCAATACAGGACATCAGCAATTCAGACCCAACACAGAGCCGATAGCGCACTAGCACAGACCCAATACAACCCCAATATAGTACCAGCACAAACCCAATACAGCACAGCACCAGCACAGACACAACACAGACACAACACAGCACTAGCACAACGACAACAACAAAATTACATTTATATAGTGCCTTTCACATAGGGAGGACATCTCAAGGCGCTGAACAGACAGAGTTACGGACTCGAGCTGAGGGTCAGGGTGGGGGAGGGGGGAGGGGAGGGCAGGGGGATCAAAAGCACGGTCGAAGAGAAGGGTTTTGGGGTGGGTTTTAGAAGGTGGCCTGGGAGGGGGCGAGACAGAGAGATTGCGGGATGGAGTTCCAGAGGGTGGGCGAAGAGTGGCGGAAGGCCCGCCTGCCAATAGTGGGACTAGGAAGGCAGGGAACGTGAAGCAGGCCAGAGTCCGCTGAGCGGAGCACAACAACAACAACAACAAGATTCCATTTATAGAGCGCCTTTCACGTCGGGAGGACATCCCAAGGCGCTGTACAGTTGGGTCAGGAACCGAGCAGGGGGGAAATGGTCAGGGTGAGGGGAGGGAGGGAGCGAGGAGGGGGTAGAGAGTCAAGAGGGGAGCTGAAGGCACGGTCAAAGAGAAAGGTCTTGAGACCGGCCTTGAAGGAGGAAAGGGAGGAGGCGGCGAAGGCACTGGGGGATAGAGTTCCAGAGCCAATATAGCAGACCCAATATAGCACAGCTCCAGCACCAACTCCAGCACAAACCTAACACAGCCCCAATACAGCCCAGTACATACGCAACACAGCCCGAATACAGCACCTGCACAAACTCAATACAGCCCAGCACAGCTCCAATACAGCCCAGCACCAGCACAGACGCAATGCAGGACCAGCATAAACCTAACACAGCCCCAATACTGCCCAGCCCCAGCGCAGACCCAACACAGCCCAGCACAGCACAAACCCAACACAGCCCCAATACAGCACCAGCATAGACCCAACACAGTCAAGCACCAGCCCAAACCCAACACAGACCCAATACAGCCCAGCTCAGCACCAGTCAAACACAGCCCCAGTACAGCCCAGCACAAGACCAACACAGCCCCAACATAGCCCAGCACCAGCACAAACCCAACACAGCCCCAATACAGCCAATGACAGTGACCCTGCACACACACTGACCTTAGTGAGGGGGGAGGGGGTATTACCTCAGTGGAGTTTTTCTCATTTCATGCTGAGCTGTGTTCGCCATCAGGAAACTCACAGGGAACCTGGTACCAGCCATTCATCCAATGAGAACTCAAACCCACGCTTGTCAGATGTCAAATGAACAACTAGTAACTATCCTCATTGGGTGGGGGTAAGCGGGAACTAGCTCCAAAGTGACGTGTTTCGCAATGGAATGTTGGAATCGAGCCCTCTGTGAGGGTCTCTGGTTGGGTTCCTTGGCCAGCGGATCTACAGTATTCCAGGGCACTGCTGATGACAGCACAGCCCAGCCTGGCTCATCGTCAGGACCTGGAAGGGCAGATAACAACAACAACAACAAGATTGCATTTATAGAGCGCCTTTCACGTTGGGTCGGGACCCGAGCAGGGGGGAAATGGTCAGGGTGAGGGGAGGGAAGGGAGGGAGCGAGGAGGGGGTAGAGAGTCGAGAGGGGAGCTGAAGGGACGGTTGAAGGGAAAGGTCTTGAGATCGGCCTTGAAGGAGGAAAGGGAGGAGGCGGCGAAGGCACTGGGGGATAGAGTTCCAGAGCCTCGGGGCTGAGAGGCTGAAGGCCCGGCCACCGATGGTAGGGCGGTTGGGGCGGGGGATGTGGAGCAGACCGGAGCCAGAGGAATGGAGGTTACGGGCAGGTACGTGGGGGGATAGAAGGTCGGAGAGGTAGGAGGGAGCGAGGCCGTGAATGGCCTTGTAGGTGAGGATGAGGATCTTGAATTCGATCCTCTGGGGGATGGGGAGCCAGTGGAGGCGAGCGAGGGTGGGAGTGATGTGGTCGCGAAGCCTGGTGCGGGACAGTACACGAGCTGCAGAGTTCTGAATGACCTGCAGTGTGGAGGGAGGGGCCGGGAAGGCCGGCGAGGAGAGAGTTCCCGTAATCCAGCCTTGAGGTGATAAAGGCGTGAACCAGGGTTTCAGCAGCGTGAGGGGTGAGGTAGTGCCGTAGTCTGGCGATGTTCCGGAGGTGATGGAAGGCGGTGCCAGTTGTGGTGCGGATGTGGGGAAGAAAGGACAGCTCAGGGTCGAACAGAACCCCGAGGTTCCTGATGGCTTTGAGAGGTGGAGAGTGCAGCCTTGGATGCTGATGCTGTCAGCGCCTGAGGTGCGGAGGCGCTGACGTGAGCCAATCAGGAGGGCCTCAGTTTTGCGCACATTGAGCTGAAGAAAGTTGTCTCTCGTCCAGGACTCGATGTCGGACAGGCAGCTGTCAGGACATCGGTGGTCGTGGAGTTGAGGGTAGAGGAGGAAAGGTAGAGTTGGGTGTCATCCGCATACATGTGGAAGTTAACCCCATGTCTGCGGATGATGTCACCAAGGGGGAGCATATAGAGGGTGAAGAGGAGGGGACCGAGGACAGAGCCCTGAGGGACACCGCACGAGACAGTGCGGGGGCTGGAGGAAAAGCGTTTGCAGAGACAAAATGAAGACGGCGGGAGAGGTAGGACCTAAACCACTCAAGGACAGGGCCTTGAAGGTTGAGGTGGGAGGACAGGAGGTGGAGGAGGATAGAATGGTCGACCGTATCGAATGCGGCCGATAGGTCGAGGAGGACGAGGAGGCAGAGGGAGTCCTGGTCGCAGATGGTCAAGATGTCATTGGTGACCTTGACCAGGGCAGTTTCTGTGCTATGGGCAGCACGGAAACCCGACTGGAGGGGTTCGAAAAGTGAGTGGGTGGAGAGGAAAGAGCGCAGCTGGGAGGCGACGACTCTTTCGAGAACCTTGGACAGGAAGGGGAGGTTGGAGATGGGCCGGTAGCTTGATAGCTGCGACGCATCAAGGGACGGTTTTTTCAATGTGGGAGTGATGGTGGCAGTTTTGAGGGGAAGAGGAGAGGGACAAGTTAATGGTGTCTGTCAGAAGTGGGGCAAAGAGGTGGAGCTGAGAGATAAGGAGTGGAGTGGGGATGGGGTCCAGTGAGCAGGTGGTGGGTTTCAAGGACAAGATGAGTTTGGTGACAGAGGGTGGGGAAACGGGTTCAAAGGTGTGTAGGGGAGGATGGGTAGGAGTCGGAGTATGGGAGGGAGGGAGGGGGGTGGGTGGAAGTTGGAGGGGCAGTGACCACGGAGTGGATTCCTTTGATTTGGGATTCAAGGAAATCTAACATCTCCTCGCAGTGAAGGTTGGAGGAGATGACCTGCGCGGGGTGGTGGGGGGGACGGAGGAGTCGGGATGTGGTGGAGAACAGAAGCCTGGGGTTGTTCTTCGCCTCCAGGATTATCCTGGAGTAGAAGGACGACTTGGCCGAGGCTAGAGTGGAGCGGTAGATTTTGAGGAGGTCCAGCCAGATTTGCCGGTGGACCGTTAGGCCAGATTTGAGGCAGGTGCGTTCAGCGGCCCGCACCTGGCTCTTCAGTGAGCGGAGGTGGGTGGTGAACCAGGGGGAGGAGCGAGAGTAAGAGACAGTACGGGAGGTGATGGGGGCAAGAGTGTCGAGTGTGGAGGAGAGGGTGTTGTGGAGGAGGGTGAGAGCAGAAGAGGGGTCAGTGAGGGTTGAAGGCCAGAGGGAGAGGAGTTCAGAGGACTCCAAGGCAGCGGTTAGGGATTGTGGGGGTAACTTCTTCCAGGGGCGGTAGAAGATGGTGGTGGGTCTGGTGGAGGTAGGGAGGGGGGTGGAGGTGGTGAAGGAGATGAAGTGGTGATCGGAGACGGCCTTGTCGGTAATGGTGACATCCGAGACACTGAGGCCCCGGGTGATCACCAAATCGAGTGGGTGACCGTGAATGTGAGTGGCGGAGTTGATATGGAGGGAGAGTTTGAGTGAGGAGAGGAGGGAGGAGAAGTCCGAGGAGATGGAGCAGGAGGGGGTGAAGTGCAGGTTGAAGTCGCCCAGAATGATGAGGCGATCAGAGCAGAGGCAGAGAGATGTTAGGAGGATAGAAATATCGGAGATGAAGGTGGGAGAGGTTTTAGGGGGCGGTAGAGGAGGAGAATTTTGAGTGAGAGATGGGAGGGGTGGGAGAGGGTGAGGTGCTCGAAAGAGGGGAAAGAGCCAGAGGAGTAGGGATATAGGGCAAGTGGTGTCCTTGAGATAAGGGCTACACCACCGCCACGGCGGTTGGGGCGAGGGATGTGGTGGGAGGTGTAGCCGGGTGGTGTGGCCTCCGTGAGGGGGAAGGTGTCGCTTGGGGTGAGCCAGGTTTCCGTTAAGGCTATGATGTCGACGCTCTCATCAAGGATGAGATCGTTGATGACCAGGGCCTTATTACAGAGGGAGCGGACGTTTTGGAGTTCGATGTGGAGGGAGCGGTTGACAGAAGGGTGTGTGGGGATGGAGGGACAAGGCAAGGAAGGCAAGGACTCTTCACATTCGGCTCCTGTTAACCCTGCAAGCCAAAGCCCTAATGGGCAGGGTGGTCGTAGGTGGACAAGCAGCGGGAAATCTTGCCAGATAGTGCTCTCAAAGGCAAGCTATGCGGTTTTAGACTGTTAGACTCCAATAACAACAACAACAACAACAAGATTCCATTTATAAAGCGCCTTTCACGTCAGGAGGACGTCCCAAGGCGCTGCACAGTTGGGTCATGACCCGAGCAGGGGGGAAATGGTCAGGGTGAGGGGACTCTGGGGTCCCTTGACTCTTCCCAACCTACACCTAATATTCCCCACATTTAGAAAAAGCAGAATGCGTCCCTCCAAGGAGAAAGTGTACATTCCATTTCAATAAACATCTTGGGAATTTCCATGTAGAGATGGGATGAAAAGAATTCTCAGTTTGGGTTTGGGTAATACTGCAGGGAGGGGGGCAGGGGGTTGACAGTGACTGTGAGTCATAGCGGAGCTTCTCCCCCACCTACAGGGGCACCAGGGGGCCTGTCGTTGGGTGACGTGCTGAGTTGAGCTGTAATGGGAAGGGCTGTGACAGCTTAAGCTGCCCCTAGTGGTGGCTGGTGGCACAGTCACAGTCAGACACAGGACACTTAAGGCACAGGACGTGGTGCCGGGCACTCAATGCGGGCTCAGCCTCCCAGCCTGACGTTCCAGCCCGCGCCTGGAGATGCAATCCTGTGTGAAGAAACAGGAGTAGGCCATTCAGCCCCTCGAGCCTGTTCTGCCATTCTATTAAATCACGGCTGATCTGTACCTCAACTCCAATTACCCATCCTTGTCCATATCCCTTTATTCCTTGACCTAACAAAAGTCACCTCAGTTTTGAAAATTTTAATGGATCCGTATCCACAGCCTTTTGGGGGAGAGAGTTCCAGATTTCCAAAACACTGTGTGAACGCTGTTGATGTTGTTGTTCCCAGGTTATTCCTCCAGCGGTGGAAGGTGCTGGGCTTCTGATCAGCGTCATGGAGGTGATTGACACGCAATTCCCTCCTTAATGTCTCTAAACCCTTCGCATAGTTAATGTCGGGGAGGGGGTACATTGGGGGAGGCGGGGAGGGGTTACACTGGGGGAGGGGTACACTGGGGGGGGGTACACTGGGGGGAGGGGGTGCACTGGGGGGAGGGGGTGCACTGGGGGAGGGGTGCACTGGGGGAGGGGGTGCACTGGGGGGAGGGAGTGCACTGGGGAGGGGTGCACTGGGGGAGGGGTGCACTGCGGGGGGAGGGGGTGCACTGGGGAGGGGTGCACTGGGGGAGGGGTGCACTGGGGGGGGGCACTGGGGGGGGGGTGCACTGGGGGGAGGGGGTGCACTGGGGGGGGGGGGGGGGGGGGGGGGGGGGGGGGGGGTGCAGGGGGGGGGGGGGGGGGGGGGGGGGGGGGGGGGGGGGGGGGGGTGCACTGGGGGGGAGGGGGTGCACTGGGGGGGAGGGTGCACTGGGGGGAGGGGGTGCACTGGGGGAGGGAGTGCACTGGGGGGGAGGGGTGCACTGGGGGGGAGGGGTGCACTGGGGGGAGGGGGTGCACTGGGGGGAGGGGTGCATGGGGGAGGGGTGCACTGGGGGGGGCACTGGGGAGGGGGTGCACTGGGGGGGGGGGTGCACTGGGGCGGGGGTGCACTGGGGGAGGGGGTGCACTGGGGGGAGGGGGTGCACTGGGGGGGGGGGGGAGGGGGTGCACTGGGGGGGGGGGGGCATGGGGGGAGGGGTGCACTGGGGGGAGGGGGTGCACTGGGGGAGGGGGTGCACTGGGGGGGGAGGGGGTGCACTGGGGGAGGGGGTGAAGTTGCCAATTTCAGCACTTGGTGAAGATGCTGCGGCAAAGCAGTCGGGAGCAGCATATCCTTTGTTTGACAGCTCCTCCCGCTCTGCTTTGGCCCTGATGCTGTGAGTGGGAGCAATGAAGTGCAGACCCGCCCGGGAGGACTGCACTGCAGACATACATTGTGAACGGTGGCCGCTGGGCTCAGGCAGTCACTCTCGTTAAATAGGTTGTGGGTTCATGCAGCTCAACGGAGATTTTGAGCTCACCTTCCAGGCTGACACCCCAGCACAGTGCTGGGGGAGCGCTGCATCGTCAGAGGTGCTATCTTTTGGATGAGACATTAAACCGAGATCCCATCTGTGTTGTTCAGTTGGACATTAAAAATCCCGCAGTGCTGTTGGAAAAAAGAAGGGAGCACTGCCTTCCAGTTTTCTGGCTGACAATCCCTCAAATAAAATCGATGATTAACTTCATGGCTGTTTGTGGGATGTTGCTGTGTGCTAATTGGCTGCTGTGTCTCCCCACACAGTCACTACACTTTACAGTAAAATCCTGCGAAACGATTTGAAAAGGGTGGCTGGTATAATTATATCAAATGTATTTTTTTGGTCAGCCGGGTGACTGACACATGCAGAAACATGATAAGGCCCCCGTATCAAACGCAAGGATGATTATTATTATTATTATTATTATTATTATTATTATTATTATTATTATTATTATTATTTTTAAACCAATCACCCTGCTTAAGAATATCCAAACCAAACCGAGAATTCCATGCATCCCACCTATACCGTGTGTCAGTCTGGCTCAGCGGTCACTGTCTCGCCTCTGAGTCAGAAGATTCGAGCCCCACGTCAGGACCTGGAATGACAGTCCAAGCTGACAGGCCAATGCAGTGCTCCGAGTGCGTTACATTGTTGGAGATGCCGTCCTTTGGCCGAAGCATTAAACCGAGGTCCCGTCTGCCTGTTCAGGGGGATGTCAAAGATCCCATGACACTATTCAAAAAGAGAAGGGAGTTTCTTCCAGTGTCCTGGACAACAATTGCCGTGCACAATTGGCTGTGGTGGTTTTCCCACAAAATACATAATGAATCCGCTTTATGCTTGGGCGAGGTACCTTGGGACGTGCTCTTAATTTGAAAGGCTCTCTATAAATCCAATTTGATGTTGTTTACAGTGTGTCCTGCGTAGCGATTTAAGGCATCTCCATGACGTGATAAGGCACGATATCAAATGCAAAGATTATTATTATTATAATACGTGGAAATTCCACAGATGTTTGTTGGGATGTAAGGATTATTATTATTATTATTATTATTATCATCATCATCATATCCTGGTCGAAGTGAATAAAGATCACAAGAACGAGCAGGTAACGGTTTCTCAGCAGTCAAACCCGGGGAGAAATGGAGTGAATTCTCTCCCTCTATCCCTCCGACTTGCCCCTCACTTAACCCGTCTTCAGATTGCGCCTGAAGACCTTCCTCCTCGACAATGTCCGCGGTCACCTCCCTCCTCCTCCTCCTCCTCCCCGCGCCCCCCCCGCCCCTGCAGTCGAGCGCTCTTGGACGCTACCCCCCGCCCCCCCCGCGCGAGGAAGCGCCGTACAACAATCCTCGCGCTCGACGCGGCGTAGCGCCTCATCACGTCTTCCGGGCGCCTCGAGGCGCCTCGCGACGGTACCAAATAAAAGCCAAAGAAATAAGTGCAAGTTGCTGTCGTCGGCGAAATCCGCCCGTCCGTGATTGGTGCTGCTGACGGGCGGGGGGGCGAGGGGGGGGCGGGTTATATATATAGCGGTGCGGCATTGCAGGGGTTTCACTGCAGCAAAACCCGCGCTCCTGAGCGGTCCGCGCGGCAACATGAGCGCCTACGAGCCCTTCGCGCCTCTGCGCAAACCGTGGGATGAGCACCGCAGCCGCCCGACCAAGACCGGCGTCTGCTCGGGTCTGTACTCGGTGCACCGCTCCCCGGGCCCCGGTCCCGGCCCCGGCCCCGGCCCCAAGCGGGCGGCCCGGAGCAGCGCCGCCGCCGCGCTGCTCGCGGACTACACCGAGCGGGTGGACCTGTCGCAGGTGAGCGAAGCGACGCTGCTCAGATTGGGCGGGTTTTCACGCCCAAGTTGGGCGGTTTTTTTTTTTTTGGGGGGGGTTGTTTTTTTTTGGGGGGGTTGTTTTTTTTTGGGGGGAGGGGGGGGTTGTTTTTTTTTTGGGGTGGCACCCGTGAAAAAACACCGGTTGGGCAAATGCTTTTTTTTAATAGGTGTATAATATATATAATATGTATATATATATATATAATAAAATCAGGTGTGTGTATATATATATATATTTTAAAAAATGTAAACCCGCAAAATGTGTGTTTTTTTCACACACAACTACAACAACAAGATTCCATTTACAGAGCGCCTTTCACGTCGGGAGGACGTCCCAAAGCGCTGGACAGTTGGGTCGGGACCCGAGCATTGGGGGGGGGGGGAATGGTCGGGGAGGGAAGGGAGGGAGCGAGGAGGGGGGAAATGGTCAGGGGAAGGGGAGGGAGCGAGGAGGAGGTACGGAGTCGAGAGGGGAGCTGAAGGCACGGTCGAAGAGAAAAAAAAAACCTTTCTTGCATAGTTTTAAAATGCCAGCTCAAAAATATGCGTTTCCGGCTGTGCGAAGCAGAATGGCCAATCGGCAATGCATGTTACTGGGCTAGTATTTAATAGTAATAATAATAATCCTTGCATTTGATATAGCGTCTTATCATGTGTTCGAGATATCTCAAAGCACTTCACAGAATCTACTGTAAAGTTTTGTGGGCGAAACGTGGCAAACAATTGCGCGTAGCAGTGTCCGGGAATCTAACCTGGGTCCTCTCGCTTGCGAGGCGAGGGTTCTGGCCACTACGCCGCAGAACTCCGATTTGGTTGACCTTGGGCTACGCATGATATTGGGCTACGTTTTGGGCTGGTATTTGGTTGACTTTGGGCTACCAAGGTATTTGATTTGTTGCCCCCTGCAGGTGAGTAATGTGAACGCGGAGCTGCTGACGCTGAGAGCCCAGGAGCGAGAGCAGCTGGTGGACCTGAACGACCGCTTCGCCACCTACATCGAGAAGGTTCACTACCTGGAGCAGCAGAACAAGGTGCTGCTGGTGGAGCTGGAAGCCCTGAGACAGAAGCAATCTGACCCCCCAAGGCTCCATCTCATCTACGAGCAGGAGATCCGCGACCTGCGGGCTCTGCTGGATGCCGAGAGCAACGAGAAGGCGCGGATGGAGGGGGAGCGCGAGCGGCTGCGCCAGATCTACTCCCAGCTGAAGGACAAGTACGAGGAAGAGGTGCGTCTGCGGCTGGAGGCTGAGGATAACCTGCACAAGATGAGGGAGGAGGCGGGCAAAGTGGTCCTGGCCAACAGTGAGGTGGAGGGGACCGTCAGCTCCCTGGTGGAGGAGATCGCTTTCATCAAGAAGGTCCATGGCCAGGAGAACGCCGAGCTGCTGTCCCAGATCCAGGCTGCCCACCTGACTGTGGAGGTGGAGGTGACCAAACCAGACCTGGCCGTGGCCCTGAAGGAGATCCGTTCGCAGTACGAGACGCTAGCCAATAAGAACATGCAGGCGGCCGAGGATTGGTACCGAACCAAGGTGGCCACCGTGGCTGAGATGGCCAACAAGAACAACCAGGCCGTCAGATCCATCAAGGAAGAGACGGCTGAGTACCGGCGTCTCCTGCAGTCCCGAGGCTCCGAGATCGAGGGTCTCAAGAATGTCATTGACTCCTTACACAAACAGCTGGAGAGCCTGGAGGACAGGCAGGGCAAGGAGGTGTCCAAATACCAGGTACAAGCTCCTCCCTCCATCTCACCCCCCACCCACTCTCTGAATCTCACCCCCACTCCATCTCTGCCCCCCCTCCATCTCACCAGAGAGATTTACAGCACAGAAAGCAGATCATTCGGCTCATAGTGTGTCAGAGTGTATATTAATGCATCAGACTGAGTGTGTGTCGGTGAGTGTGCATGTTGGCACTGGCAAGTGTGGCAATGGGAAATGGCAACTTCGGTGTGAACAAGTAATGCAGTGTAATTGGCTGGGTCAGACAGTGGGACTGAGGCAGATAGACTGACTCTCGGCCTCTCAGTGACTGACTGTGTGTGTGTGAGCAGGAGAGGATCAGCGAGCTGGATAAGGATATCAATGATGCAAAACAGGAGATGACGCGTTACCTGCGGGAATACCAGGACCTTCTCAACGTCAAAATGGCGCTGGACATCGAGATCGCAGCTTACAGGTATGGCATCACTCAACCTCCACAGCTCATAACTCCAAGCTTCATGTTGGGTACTCTGAGCTCACAGTTCAGGCTGACGCTCCAGTGCACTGCTGGGGAGAGAGACCACCACATTGTCAGAGATGCCATCCTTCAGATGAAACATTAAACCAAGGCCTCGTCTATGCCAGTTCAGGCGGACGTTAAAAATCCTGCAGTGCTGTTCGAAAAAAGGAGGGCATTTCTCTTGCTCTCTGTCTCCTCCTGCCACACCAAACTGCCCTATTGTGGAGTCCTCCAGCATTGTGCTTAGTTTGCTCGCCTCACAAGCGAATAGGACCTGGGTTGGATACCTGGGCAGAGCGAACCCTTAGGCAAGCTTCCTTACTCCACACACCTCCGTTTACTTAGCTGTAATAATAATAATCCTAACTAGGAAATAGGAATCCAGTTGTTAGTCGATTGGCGGATCATTTTCCAGGGGTAATAATCACCCCCCCCCCACAAAATGGTCATTCAATTCATGACCGTTTGTGGGACAAGGCTGTGTGAAATTGGCTGTCGTGTTTTGCCCATAAAATACACAGTAAATTCACTTTATAGTATATTCCGTGAAGCGCTTTGAGACGTCTCAAACAACATAAGTCGCTATATCAAACGCAAGAATTATTATAGAATTATTATTGTAACCATAGGAAAATGGAACAGGAGGCGCCTGTTCATCCCTTTGAGCCTGTTCCGCCATTTAATTAGATCATGGCTGATCTGTACCTTAACTAATCCTTTCAATTCCAATTTCCCACTTTCTCCCCAAATGCCTTAACACCCTGACCTACCAAAAATCTATCAACCTCACTCTTGAAGGTGTGGATGGATCCAGCATCCATGGCCTTTTGGGAGAGAGAATTCCAGATTTCTGTCACCCTTTGAGTGAAAAAATGCTTCCTGATTTCACTCTTAAATGGCCTGGTTCTAATTTTAAGATTATGCCCCTTGTTTTGGATTTCCCCAGTAGAGGAAATCTGTATCTACCCTATCAAATCCCTTTATCATCTTAAATACCTCGATCAAATCACCCCTCAACCTTCTAAACTCAAAGGAATACAATCCAAGTTTACGCAGCCTTTCCTCACAACTTAACCCTTTTAGGCCTGGTAACATTCTGGTGAACCTGCGCTGCACTCCCTCCAGGGCTATTATCTTTCCTGAGGCGTGGTGCCCAAAACTGAACACAGTCTCCGGATGGGGTCTGACAAACGCTCTATACAGCTGAAGCATCATTTCTTCCCCTTTGTATTCCAGGCCGCTTGAAATAAAGGCCAATTTTGATTACTTTTTGCACCTGGGAACTAGTTTTTAGTGATTTGTGGATATGGGCACCTAAATCTCTGCTCTTCCACAGTTCTTAATTTCTCCCCATTNAAAAAGTATTCTGCTTTATCTTTTTTCGGTCCATAGTGTATGACCTCACACTAGAACTCCATCCTCTACATTGAACTCCATCAACTACAGCTTTGCCCACTCACTTAATCTGTCTAAGACCCTTTGTAACTTCCTACTCCCATCTACACAACTTACTAAGCCTCCTAGCTTAGTGTCATCTGCAAACTTGGATATAAAATTTTCTATTCTTTTATCCAAGTCATTATATTTATATATATGTATGGCGAATAGCTGGGGTCCCAGTACAGACCCCTGGGGGACAACGCTTGTCACGTCCCGCCAATCAGAGAACGTTCCTTTTATCCCTACTCTCTGTTTCCTGTTTCCTAACCAATTACCAAGCCTCGTCACAAGGTTACCTCTGACTCCATGTGCTTCCATTTTCACTAATAATCTTTAGTGTGGAACCTTATCAAATGCCTTCTGAAAGTCCATATAAACAAATCCTTAGACACTCTCTTATCCACCATTTTAGTGACCTCAAAAAATTCAACTAGATTAGTCAGAAACGACCTACCCTTCACAAACCCATGCTGACTCTCTTTGACTGTCTCATACTGTCCAAGTGTTCAGTCATTCTATCCCTGATGATGGATTCCAGTATTTTCCCTACAAATGACGTTAAGCTGACAGGTCTGTGGTTTCCTGGTTTCTCCCTCCCTCCCTTATTAAATAAAGGGGTGACATTCACACTCTACATCACAACTCTCTGGAGGTCTGTAGACTACTCCCAGCAGAGTCTTACCTCCTTTGCTGTTCCTTAATTCTACCCATAGTGTTTCCGCTACCTGATCGGCCTTACTGAAAGAAAGGAAAATCTTTCCTTTCCACTGCTGTAATAGTGTCTTTTATCAATATTGCTACTCCTCCTCCTTTCCCAATGTCCCTGTCTTTTCTAAAGATCTTATAGCCTGGAATATTTAGCTCCCAGTCCTGCCCAGCTTGTAACCAGGTCTCTGTAATGGCTACTACATCGTATCCTTTAAGTGGAATTTGTGCTTCTAACTCACTTTTTTTTATTTCTTATGCTACATGGATTTGTATACATAACTCTTATTTGGGTAACTGTCCCCAACATGCCAAAACGCCTTGATGATGTTCTTCTCACACTTTTTGACTTTTTACACCTTTTGTGATAACTTCCTATTACCTTTTTCTTTCCTGTAGTATTTGTTATTTTTATCACTATTTATATTCTGACCATTGCTCATCTTCTCCTTGCCTTATGTTTTGTTTTCTACCCGTCCCTCCCCTTCCACCCATCCCTACTCGTTTAAAGCTTTTTCTACAGTCTTATTTATCCTTTTCACTAGTACCTTGATCCCACCCCTGTTCAGCTGCAGCCCATTCCAGCAGTACAGCTCATTCCTGTCCCATTACTGGTGCCAGTGTCCCATAAAATGGAACCCCTCATTCTCGCACCACTCTTTCAGCCCACATTTATCTCTTTATCTGATCCATTTATCTTTATGACAATTTGCACGTGGCTGAGGTAGCCATCTGGAGATTGTTTTTTTCTGTCTTTTAATTTAACCCCTAGCTCTTGATACTCTCTTGGCACAACATCCTTCTTGCTCTTTCCTATGTAATTGGTTCCCGCGTGGATGACAATTGGTTCTTTCCCCTCCCTTTCCATCTCCGCCATTGTTTCTCAGTCTGACCCTCACACACAAACCAGTAATAATAATCCTTGCATTTGATATAGCGCTTTTCACGTCGGGAGGACGTCCCAAAGCGCTTCACAGAATTGAACTCAGGTCTCTCACTTGCAAAGCGAGTGCTCTAACCACTGAGCTACAGGACTCCACAATAGTAGTAGTAGTAGTAGAGGGTGCTGTGGAGAGGGTTCGGGGACCAGGCGGGCTTTGCCATCCCAGTGAGACACATACACTTAGCACAGAGCCCAGTCTGTGTGGGTGTCTCTCTCCTCACTTCTCACTCCATCCCCCCACCTGGAGGGAAGAATTTTCCACAATTCCTTCATTTTGAGTTGGAGGAGGTCCTGCAGGCTGAGAACAGGTGGAATTCAGGACCCGCATGACTCGGTACTGTTTTTTTTCTCTCTCCCCGTCTCCTCAGGAAACTTCTGGAAGGTGAAGAATTCCGCCTGAGCTTCTCGTCCCTCCCGTCGTACAGTTAAACCACTCGCCGAGGGTGAGCCACCATCACATCAGCTGTCATCACACCCAGCCAGCGCCTAGCACAACCCCCCTCTCCCCGCCAGCCCCCCCCCCCCCCCGCCAGCCCTTCCCCGGCCCCCCAAACTGCCATCAATCACAAAGACAGTTTCTCTCTCACCAAACACGCACTCGCACATTGATTCTTTCTGTCACAAACACAGTTTCCCTCTCTCTCTCTGACGACGAGATGTTGTGGATCAAGTCACGAGGATTGCAGCGCTATCAGCCAGTAGCGCCAGATCAACTGACCCCCAGCACAACCTCTCCCTCATTATAGGGGGGGAGGGCATAACACTGAGTCAGCGAGGCTGTGAGCAGGGCGGGAGGGGCTGAGCAGGGAAGGTGTTCAGGTGTAAAGTCTGTTTATTGTGTAAACCTGGGAGTTTGTTGCTGTCTGAGCTCACATTAAACTGTACTTGCCATCCATCTGCCCATCCTTACTCTGAGAGAGCAAGGCAGAGAGAGAGAAAGGTGGAGTGAAGAAGAGCGACAGCAAAAAGAAACAGTTAATGTGAATGCGCTACGTCCCCCCCCCTCGGAATCCCCGCCCGCCCATCTCGGAACCCGCACCCCCCGCCTCGGAGCCTCCGCAACCCCACCCCTCGGAAACCCCACACCTCGGAAACCCCACCCGCTCTCCTCGGAACCCCTCCCTGCAGGAGCCCCACCCACTCCCCATGGAAACCCTCCCACTCGGAACCCCACCCTCTCCTCTTGAAACCCCCCCCCCTCCTTGGAAGCCTGTCCTTTCACTTCGGTGCCCCTTCCTCCCATGGGGGCGGCTGTCACCGTCATGTTATCGCTTTTTGCTGGGTTTGTGTGTAACCCGGCTCCACTCAACAGGCGAGAAATCCACAAGGAATAAAGTTACTGAAACCTCCGAGTTGTGTGGTTCCCTCCAGCCCCACCACATCACCTCACACATCTGAGCTCCACAAGGGAGGGTTAAACTCCTCCAGGGAGGCGGGCAACGATGACAGGGGGACACTACCTGTCAGATGTCAAAAAAACAACTATCCTCCTCGGCAGGAGGTAGGTGGGGTCTCTTTGGAATTGACACTGGCTCCAAGGTGACGATGCTGGCAACCGAGTGTCAGAATTGAGCCCTCTGTCTGTCACGGTCTCCAGTCCGGTTTCTGAGCCAGGCGGGTCCACAGGAGGTGTTGTGTGGGGTCGCCTCTGACGGTGGTGATGTTGCAAGCAGCTGATCGCCATGGCTGAGTGTGAGAGTGACATCACTTTATTCCTGATCTTCGGTCATACAATACAGCTTGACAATAACAATAACTAAATTACATTTGTAGAGCGCCTTTCATGTCAGGAGGATGTCCCAACGCGCTGGACAGATAGAGTTTTAGACCCGAGCTGGGGGTTGGGATCGGGGATGGTGGAAGGCAGGGGAGGAAGCAAGGTGATCAAAAGCACGGGAGGGGGCGAGGCGGAGGGACTGCAGGATGGAGTTCCAGAGGGTGTGGGCAGAGTGGCAGAAGGCCCACCCGCCAACAGTGGGGTGAGCAAGGTGGAGGACATACATTTACACTAAGTACATTGTGCATTTCCATTTACACCAAGTACATTGTGCCCTGCAGGCAGAGGTACAGGCACAATACATTCACAGGCACTAGTAACTTACATATACAGTGAGAGATACAATCACACTATGCCGATACAGGCAGAAGGTCAGATACACAGAACAGTCACAGGCCCAGTATAGACGGGGTGGGGGAACACTACAGTGCAAGCCAAACAGGCCACTTGTTAACAATAACAGCAACACCAACGGTGAGCAGGTCACACAGAAGGAGAGGGAGCCGAGAGAATAGAATGAGAAGAGAATGATTGGGGGAAGGGGGAAAGAAAGGTCAGGAGAGAGAAGAGATGGGGGAAGGGGGGAGAGGTGCGGTGAAGGGGAGGATGCAGGGTGAGGGGGGAGATGGGGGGATACAGGGTGAGGGGGGTAGATGGGGTGAGAGGGAGATGAGGGGGGGGGATACAGGGTGAGGGGCAGAGATGGGGTGAGGGGGAGACACCACTCGCCCTCTACTCGGAGCCGAAGACGAGGGGTGCATCACCGTCACAGATGTCGAACCACTGCTGGTGGATGGAGCGGGCGGGGAGGAGGCTGTTAAGGGGCAATGAGGAGTTCCTTTCCCGGTCCCGCTCGCCCACCACCCGCCAGAACTCTGCATCCTTGAACATGAAGACAGCACTAAGGCTGTAGGAGAAGTAGACGGAGTCCAGGTTCCCCAGTGGGTGGTCTCCTGGGACCACCGGGGGGAATACGTCCACGATGCGCTTTGGCCAGCCGTCAAGGCGGGCATTCTGGTCAGTGTTAAAGGCTGTCACCTATCGGGCAGCAAAAGACAGCAGTCAGCACTGGGTTGGGCAACAACAATAATTTATATTTACACAGCGCCTTTCAAGTCAGGAGAACGTCCCAATAATAATAAGAATAATCCTTGCATTTTATTTAGCACCTTATCATGTATTCTAGACATCTCAAAATGCTTCACAGAATATACTGTAAAGTGGATTGATTTTGTATTTTGTGGGCGAAACGCAGCAGCCAATTGCACACAGCAGTGTCCCACAAACAGTCATGGATTAAGTGACCAAATTTTCGGTTTTTTTTAAAGGGATTATTACCCCCGGAACCATTTTGCCAATCGACTAAAAGCTAGGTTCCTACTTACTGCTTGGTAAACAGAGGCATGTGGAATAAGGTTTCATGTTGCCTAAGGTTTCAACAACAAAATTGCATTTCATGTCCAAGGAGCTGGACTGACAGAGTTTCGGATCCAAGCTGGGGGTCAGGATTGGAGAGGGTGGAGGGCAGGGAGGGAAGCAGGTTGATTGAAGGCACGGTCGAAGAGGAGGGTCTTGAGATGTTGAAGGAGGCAAGGGAGGGGGCGAGATGGAGGTACTTTGGGATGGAGTTCCAGAGGGTGGGAGTAGAATGGCAGAAGGCCCGCCCGCCAAAAGTGGGGCAAGTGAGGTAGGGGACATGAAGCAGGCCGGAGCCCGCTGAGCGGAGGGAGTGAGCAGGATGGTAGGGGGTTAGGAGGTCGCAGAGATAGGTGGGAACAACGAGGGCTTTGAAGGTGAGGACCAGGATCTTGAACTGTCTTCTCTGTGTGATGGGAAGCCAGTTGAGTAGGGTGAGGATGGGGTTGATAGGGTCAGGGAGTCTGGTGCAGGAGAGGACACAGGCTGCAGAGTTCTGGATGATCTGCAGCCTATGGAGGGAGGAGGTGGTGAGGCCGATAAGCAAGGAGTTTGCATAGTCAAGCCTCGATTTAATGAAAGCGTGTAAGAGGGTTTTGGCGGCTGTGGTGTGAGACAGTGGCGAAGCCAGGCAATGTTGCGGAGGTGGGGGAAGGCAGAGCGGGTCATGGCACAGATGAGAGGTAGAAGGGATAGTCTTGGGTCAAAAAAGGCATCAGGGTTCTGGACTGGCCTAGTGAGGTGGAGTGTGCATCCATGGATGGTGATGCTGTCAGTACCTGAGGTGTGGAGGCACTGATGGGAGCCAATCAGAAGAGCCTCGGTCTTGTCTTTCAACTGAAGAATATTAGCTCTCATCCAGGATCCTCAGAGGATCGAATACAAGATCCTCATCCTCACTTTCAAAGCCCCCTCCTACCTCTCTAACCTGCTAACTCCCTACCAACCTGTCCGCTCCTTCCATTCAGCGGGCTCCGGCCTGCTCTATATCTCCCACCTGATCCGTCCTACCATCGGTGGCCGGGCTTTCAGCCTCTCTGCCTCCACACTCTGGAACTCCATCCCACAGTCCCTTCACATCGCATCCTCCCTTGCCTCCTTCAAGGCCGATATCAAGACCTTCCTCTTCGATTGTTCCTTCAGTCGCCCTCCCACCTTTCTGCCTTCCCTCATCCCTACCCCACGCCTCCTCCATGCTTGGATCCTGACCCCTGACTGTCTAGCGCCCTGGGACGTCCTTCCGACGTGAAAGGAGCTCTATAAATGTAATTTTGTTGTTGTTGATGTCTAACAGACATTCTCTCAGGACATCAGTGGTCCTGGAGTCAAGGGTGGAGGCAGAGATGTACAGTTGGGTGTCATCCGCATACATGTGGAATTTGACCCCAAGTCTGTGGGTAATGTCACCAAGAGGGAGCATATAGATATTGAAGAGGAGGGGACCAAGGACAGAGCCCTGAGGAACGCCGCACAAGACGGTACAGGGGCTAGAGGAGAAACCGTTTGTGGAGATGAAGTGGAGGTGGTGTGAGAGGTATGATCTGAACCAGTCAAGGACAGAGCCGTGAAGGTTGAGGTGAGAGGAGTGCAGGTGGATAAAGATAAGAGTGGTCGACAGTGTTGAAGGCAGCAGAGAGGTCAAGGAGGACGAGGAGGTAGAGGGAGCCCTGGTGGAAGATGGACAGAATGTCATTTGTCACTTTGACCAGAGCTGTTTCTGTGCTGTGGGTGGCACAGAAACCCGATTGAAGGGGTTAGTGAAGGGAGTGGCAGGAGAGGAAGGAGCAAAGCTGGGAAGCAACCACGACTTTGGAGAGGAAAGGGAGGTTGGAGATGGGGCGGTAGTTTGAGAATAGAGATGGGTCCAGGGAGGGTTTTTTAAGGAGTGATAACGGCAGTTATTAATGGATGGGAACAGTTCCAGTCGACAGGTTTATGATGTCTGAGTAGAGGAATAAGGAAGTGGAGCTGGGAGGTAAGAAGAGGGGTAGGGATGGGGCGAAGGGAGCAGTTGGTCGGTTTCAGGCAGGTTATAGTGGTGGTGAAAGAGGAGTGGGAGACAGGTTTGAAGGTGTGGAGGGAGGGATGGGTAGGGGACGGGGTGGGAGGAGGAGATGGGAAGGGGGTAGCAGACGGAATAGCAGAGGCAGCTGAGCAAATCCCTTCAACTTTGGATTCAAGGAACCTAGCATCTGCTCACAGTTGGCATTTGAGGTGAGGATGGCGAGGCATGAGAGGGTGGGCAGAGAAGCCGGTTGGTGATGGAGAAGAGGAGCCTAGGGTTGTCCTTGGCCTCCAAGATTGTCTTGGAGTAGAACGACGATTTAGCGGAGGTGAGGGCGGAGCTGTAAGATTTGATAAGGTCCAGCCAGATCTGCTGATGGCCCATTAAATTTGATTTAAGCAGGTGCGTTCAGCGGCACGCACCTGTACTTTAAAGGAGCAGAAGTGGCTGGTGTACCATGGTGACTTATGTGAATAGGAGACAGTTTGGGAAGAGAGGGAAGCAAGGGAATCAAGTGTGGAGGAGAGGGAGCTGTGGAGAAGAGTGATCAAGGAGGATAGGTCATTGCGGGAGGAAGCCCAGGGGGGAAGGAGTTCAGATGACTCCAAGGCAGCCGAGAGTGGGGGGTTTTGAGGAGTTAAGGGAGATGAAGTGATGGTCCGAGATCGCTTTGTCGATGATGGTGAGGTCCGAGACGGCGAGGGGCTGACCACGGACGTGGGTGGCAGAGTGGATATGGAAGGAGAGGTTGAGGGAGGAGATAAGGGAGGAGAAGTCAGCAGAGATAGAGCAGGAGGGGTGAAGTGAAGGTTGAAGTCTCCTAGGATGAGGAGGTGTTCAGAGCAGAGGGAGAGGGAAGATAGGAGGGTGGAGATGTCGGGGATGAAGGTGGGGGAGGGCTTGGGGGGTGCGATTTATAAGGAGAATTTTCAAGGAAAGGTTGGCAGGGTGGTAAAGGATAAGGTGCTCTAAGGAGGGGAAGGTTTCAGAGGAGTAAGGGGATAGGCCGAGTGGGGACCGGGAGATGAGAGCCACACCACAACACAGTGGTTAGGTCGTGGCGTGTGATGTAGGAGTAGCTGGGTTGTGTGGCCTCTATCAGGGGGAAGGTGTCGCCTGGAGTGATTCAGATTTCAGTGAGGGCGAGAATGTCGGGAATTTTGGCTTGCCTGGGAATCGAACCGGGGGGATTCTAGCCACTATGTTTTGCACCTGAGGTGCTGTACAATGAGGGGTTTGCACCTGAGCTGGGGGTTGGGACCGGGGGAGGGGGGAGGTGACCAAAGGCATGGTTGAAAAGGAAGGTCTTGAGACAAGCCTTGAAGGAGGTAAGCCAGATGGACTCCGGGATGAGTACCAGAGGGTGGGGGCGGAGAGGCTGAAGGCCCGACTGCTGATGGTGGAGCAGGGGCGCGGGGGACCTTGTGTAGACCAGTGCCTCCTGAGCGAAGGGAGCAGACAGGTTGATATGGGGTTAGCAGGTTACAGAGGTAGGAATGAGCAAGGCCATGGAGAGCTTTTAAGGCGAGGACGAGGATTTTAAACTCTACAACAGCAAGATTCTATTTATAGAGACGAGAACGTCCCAAGGCGCTGTACAGTTGGGTAGGGACCCGAGCATTGGGGGGAAATGGTCAGGGGGAGGGAAGGGAGGGAGCGAGGAGGGGGTAGAGAGTCGAGAGGGGAGCTGAAGGTCAAAGAGAAAGGTCTTGAGACCGACCTTGAAGGAGGAAAGGGAGGAGGCGAAGGCACTGGGGAATAGAGCTCCAGAGCCTCGGGGCTGAGAGGCTGAAGGCCCGGCCACCGATGGTAGGGCGGTTGGGGCGGGGGATGTGGAGTAGACCGGAGCCAGAGGAACGGAGGGTACGGGCAGGTACGTAGGGGATAGTAGGTCGGAGAGGTAGGAGGGAGCGAGGCCATGAATGGCCTTGTAGGTGAGGGTGAGGATCTTGAATTCGATCCTCTGGGGGATGGGGAGCCAGTGGAGGCGAGCGAGGGTGGGAGTGATGTGGTCGCGAAGCCTGGTGCGGGACAGTACACGAGCTGCAGAGTTCTGAATGACCTGCAGTGTGGAGGGAGGTGCCGGGAAGGCCATCGAGGAGAGAGTTCCCATAGTCCAGTCTTAAGGTGATAAAGGCGTGGACCAGGGTTTCAGCAGCGTGAGGGGTGAGGTAGTTCCGTAGTCTGGCGATGGTCCGGAGGTGATGGAAGGCGGTGCCAGTTGTGGTGCGGATATGAGGGAGAAAGGACAGCTCAGGGTCGAACAGAACCCCGAGGTTCCTGATGGCTTTGAGAGGTGGAGAATGCAGCCTTGGATGCTGATGCTGTCAGCGCCTGAGGTGCGGAGGCGCTGACGCGAGCCAATCAGGAGGGCCTCAGTTTTACGCACGTTGCGCTGAAGAAAGTTGTCTCTCGTCCAGGACTCAATGTCAGACAGGCAGGCTGTCAGAACATCGGTGGTCATGGAGTTGAGGGTAGAGGAGGAAAGGTAGAGTTGGGTGTGAGAATTGGACAAGCTCCGACTGTTCAGACTGGAGCGATGTCTCAGAGGAGGCCTCAGAGGTTTATATAAGATGGGAAGAAGAAACCCAGAACAATGCTCTCAGATACACCAGGACAAGACGTCATGGGGTCAGGAGTGTGAGCAGAGCTAGTGGAGCCAGCCGCTGCAGAGTTCTGGATAGTCTACAGCTTGTGGAGGGAATAGTTGGGAAGTTCATCGAGCTGGGAGTTGGCATACGCGTGGGAAAATCTCAGCTACACCTCCACCAGCGACAAACAGAGTCACAGGGCTGAGGTGGGGTGGGTGGGGTCTGCTCCTTGACACAGCTCTGACCCCCTCCTCACCCGGCTCCCTATCTCCAGCACCACAATCTCTCAGACCTCCTTATCTCCAGTGTCCTGTATCCACTGTTTCCTCTCAACACCGCACTGCACCAATTCATCTTTCCTGACCTCACCCCGCTCCTGTCCTCAACACATCAATCTAAAGGGAGTCTTATTCTTTCTCTAATCCATGCTGTTACTGACCTGGGGGTGTTTACAGAAGTGTGTGGGAGACAAACAGTGTGGGGGAGTAAGATGAACAGTATGGGGGGAGATGGATGGTGTGGTGCGCGGGGAGGCAGATACGTGACAGGTGGCACTCACACTCACGTTATATCCCTTGAAGAAGTAGATGATGTGATCTCTCTTGTTGAAGAAGACTGTGTCGATGGGGCCCTCAATGCCAGGGAAGCCCTGGGTGATCAGCTTGGGGTATCGGTTCCCCTTCCAGTCCTCCGTGTACACCCGGTCATTGTCATTGTCATAGCGCCAGTACTGTGTGCCTGACATACACACACAGTCAGACTGACATACACACACACACACAGTCAGACTGACACACACATTGAGAAGGACACACAGTGAGACTGACATACACAGTGACGCACACACACACACACACACACACACAGTGACGCACACACACAGTGAGACTCACACACACATTCATTAATAATCTTGGGCCAGCCCCTTAGGACCTCCTCTCAACGTGAAAGGCACTAAACAAATGTAATTTTGTTGTTGTAATCTCCGCCTACATTCAGTGATTGCCACACTAAAGGATCTGTAAACAAGTCACATGTGATTCACACAAGAGGTTTGGGTGGGAGAAGACCCTTCATCCTCTCACAACTGTCCTCCCATCAATGTTTATTAAGCGACCTTCCTGGTGACCCTGTTCCGAGCTGTCAATTTCCCCCGTCAATACATTCCAGATCTTTGTCCTGGAATTGCTGCTCACACTCCTGACCCCATGACGTCTTGTCCTGGTGTATCTGAGAGCATTGTTCTGGGTTTCTTCTCTCAATCTTATAGAAACCTCTAAGGTCTCCTCTGAGACATCGCTCCAGTCTGAACAGTCGGAGCTTGTCCAATTCTCACAGCTCATCTCTCAACCACTGGGTACAGCATCACTGCTCTCCTCTGTATCCAACACTGGGATCAGCCTCACTGCTCTCCTCTGTCTCTAACACTAGGATCATATAAGAGACTTGTAAGCAACTTAGAAGCCCACGGTATTAAAGGGACAGTGGAGCATGGATACAGAACTGGCTGGAAGACAGAAAGCAGAGAGTGGTGGTGACTGGCTGTTTTTCACTGGAGGGAAGTGTGCAGTGGTGACCTCCAGGGGTCAGTATTGGGACCTCTGCTGTTTTTGATCTATATAAATGACTTGGCTATAGGGAGTACAATTTCCAAGACTGAGGATGATATTAAGCTAGGAGAAGTAGCAAACAGTGAGGAGGATAGTAGCAGACTGCAAGGGGACAATGGGCAGACACGTGGCAGATGAAGTTTAATGTGAAGAAATGCGAAGTGATGCATTTTCGGAGGAAGAATGAGGAGAGGCAATATAAGCTGATGGTACAATCTTAAAGGGGGTGAAGGAACAGAGAGATCAGTAAATCTTTGAAGGTGGCAGGACAGGTAGATAAAGCTGTTAAAAAAGCGTACGGGATACTAGGCTTTATAAATAGGGGCAAAGAATACAAAAGTCAGGAAGTTATGATGAACATTTATAAAACACTGGTTAAGCCTCAGCCGAATGGCCTCCTTCTGTGCTGTATAATTCTATGATCAGCCTCGCTGCTCTCCTCTGTCTCCAACACTGTAGGATCAGCCTCACTGCTGTCTTCTTCTCTGACACTGGGATCAGCCTTGCTGCTCTGTCTCCAATATTGGGATCAGCCTCGCTGCCCTTCTCTGTCTCTAACACTGGGGATCAGCTTTGACATTTTCTTCTGTCTCTAACATTGGAGATCAGCTTTGACACTCCTCTACACTGGGAAGGGGTTTGGGCCATTAGGAGTGTGTACAGTGGAAGTGAGTGAAAAGGAGGTTGGTATATTTGTGAGTTTGCACTACATTCCAGAGCAACATCTACCTTTAAAGAAGAGGGTGGTGTCTTTATTCCACGTCCATATATGGACAAAGGCATCCAGGTTGGACGGAGGGATTCCCCGCCAGCCCACTGACAGGGGGATAGGGTCCCCATACCGCGTGCGGTTCTTACGGTTCTCGTACATCCAGTACCAGCTCTTACGGAAGAAATAAGTGTTATAGCGGTACGTGACCTCCCCCAACTGGTTATACTCTCTGCGAACCCAGTCAAAGACGGTATTAAAGTTCCCCTTACACACGCCTGTATACGCAGACACAACACACAGATACACACACAGATAGACAAACACACATAGATATACACACATACAGACAGACACACACACACACATAGATACACACACACAGCCAGACATACACACAGACACACAGAGAGACAGAGTGGGTTTAACCTCAGTTACAACAACAAAGTTCACAAAATGAGCCACGCAGAACACAGCCCGGCCCAGAGCATAGCACAGGCCAGAACACAACATAGCCCACAGAACAGCCCTGCCCAGAGCACAGCATAGCCCAGAGCACAGCATAGCCCAGAGCACAGCACAGAGCACAACCCAACCCAGAGCACAGGCCAGAGCATAGCCCAGCCCAGAGCACAGCCCAGCACAGAGCACAACCCAAAGCACAGCACAGCCCAGAGCACAGCTCATAGAACAGCATAGCCCAGAACCCAGCCCAGAGCACAGCCTAGCACTGAGCACAGCCTAGCACAGCACACAAACAGGTCATTTGGCCCAGCCAGTCTGCACTGTTTGTGCTCCACACGAGCCCCCTCCAGCCCGTGGTGAGTGGACGCACCGTAGATCTTCTGGATGGCCTTCCTGTCCTCCCAGTCCAGCTCCAGGGTGGAAGCGTGGGGGATGTAGTTAGGCTGCATGATGGAGCCTGCGCGCTGCATGTGAGGCAAACCCAGCACATGGCCGATCTCGTGCACCGCCACCTGTGGGGAATCGCAATACAACAGGCAGAATTCAGTCCATCCGCCCCCAGCACAGCCGTCCCACCACAACACAATATAATAATATCATAATCTCTGCATTTGATATAGCAATTGTGAGCAATTGGCTGCCACAATATATAGTCATTCCACTTTACAGTATATCCTGTGAAGCGCTTTGAGATGTCTCAAAGCTCTTCACAATGTTATAAGATGCTATATCAAATTCAAGGATTATTACTAATACTATAGCACTCTATCACGTTGTTTAGATTTTGTGAGCGAAAGACAGCAGCCAATTGAACCACGGCAACGTCCCACAAATAGTCATGACTATCAATTTTTTTAAATGTTTTATTTTTATTTTTTAGGGACCCCCAGAAAACGATCTGCCAACCGACTAACAACCAAGTTCCTCCTTACTGCTAGGTAAATAGAGGTGTGTGGAGTAAGGAAACTTGTCTCAGGTTTTGCCCCACCCAGGAATCGAACCCGGTCCTCTCGTTTGCGAGGCGAGTGCTCTAACCACAACACTACAGGACTCTAGCACCTCTGATGGGCTCAGCCCCACCCCTACCCCAGGTCAAGTCGATCTCTGCTGTCACAGACCCTCACAATCAGGGCAGGTTGGATGAGGAAAGTGTTTTGCCTGTTTGATCTCAGAATCTCCACCTGAGAGTTTTCCTATCTCAATTGATTCCAATGTCCTGGCCTCAGTCCCTCCTGATTCCTGCTCCAGCTGCTCACTCCTCTCGCTGGAATGAAACCGTTCTCAGCAATTAAATAGGCACTGACATGTGCCTATCTTCCTGGGAGGGAGGTAATATAATAATAATCCTTGCATTTGATATTGAGCCTTATCATATCTTTGCGACGTCTCAAAGAGCTTCACAGAATATACTGTAAAGTGAATTGACAGTATATTTGTGGGCAAAACACTGTAGCCAATTGAGCACAGCAGTGTCCCACAAACAGTTGTGGATTGAGTGATCAAATTATTATTATTATTTTTGAAGGGATTATTATCCCCAGAAAAGCGATCCTCCAACCGAATAAAAACTGGGTTCCTACTTACTGCTAGGTAAACAGCCATGTGGAGTAAGGAAACTTGCCCAACGTTTTGCCCTGCTGGGATATTGAACCCAGGACCTCTTACTTGCGAGGTGAGTGCCCTAACCACTAAGCTATAGGACTCCATTTTATGCGCATGTTCTGAGCTCTGTGTATGCCGGGGGCGCGGGAACGTGGGAGTTGTAGTTACCCTGCTTGGTTTCTTCTCCTCTATCTGCAGACCATAGGCAATAACTGGTCTTTTGGTGTCTGGTCAATGCTTCTAACCAGACTGTACAGATGCCTTTAAATCTGGAATTTCTGGTCCCAAACTGGGCAGTTGGCAACCATATTGTGGGTTCAAGCCCTACGCCGGGGACATAAGCTGTGCCAGTGAGTGTGCCAGTGAATGTGACAGAGATGGGGTAGTAATTTGAGAACAGGGATGGGTCCAGGGAAGGTCTTTTGAGGATAGTGGTGATGACAGCTGTTTTTAAGGGGTAGGAAAGGTGTCAGTGGACAAGGAGAGGTTGATGAAGTCTGTGAGTAGAGGAACAAGGAGGTGGAGCTGGGAGGTAAGGAGAGCTGGTTGGTGGTGGAAAAGAGGAGCCTGGGGTTGTCCTTGGCCTCCAAGACTATCCTGGAATAGAAGAATGATTTAGTGGAGGCAAGGGTGGAGGGATACGTTTTAATGTGGTCCAAACAGATCTGCAGATGGACCATTAAATTAGATTTGAGCCAGGTGCATTCGGTGGCACGCACTTGTGCCTTGAGGGACCGGAGGTTGCTGGTGTACCAGGGTGACTTGAGTGAGTAGGAACCAGTTCGGTAGGTAATGGGGGCAAGGGCATCGAGAGTGGCAAGTGGGAGTTGTGGAGGAGAATGACCGAGGAGGTAGGTCATTGCAGGAAGAAGTCCAGAGTGGGAGGAGTTCAGATAACTCCAAGGGAGCAGAGAGGGAGGGGATGATTTTTTTCCAGGGTGGTATGAGATGGAGGTGGATTGGGAGCCAGCGGGGAGAGGGATTGAGGAGTTAAGGGAGGTGAAGTAATAGTCCAAGATGGCTTTATCGGTGATGGTAATGTCCCAAATGCTGAGGCCCCAGGTTATCACCAGATCAAGTGGGTGGCAGTGGATGTGGGTGGCAGAGTGGATGTGGAGGAAGAAGTTGTGAGAGGAGAGGAAATGCCAACAACAGTGAGGAATGTCATCAAGTCATCAACTGCAGGAAGTGGCCTCATAAAGATACCAAAAACAGAAAATAACCTCATGTAGACATCAACAATTTGCACAAAAGTCCTGGCTCCCAAATTTCTTTGGGTTTTAGGCTTCAGACATTGTCTTAAATGCAAGTTGTTGTTGCTGGTGCTCGCTCCCCCACTGGAGCTCTCTACTCTAATCCCATTTCCTTTTAAGTGTTATTCTGGTCTCACTTTCGCCAGCTAAACCATTCCATGCTCTAATAACACTCTGTGTATGAATAACTTTCTTCTAACCTCCCAATTAACTCTTCCAGTCACCGTCTTGAGGTTAGGCCCCTTGTTGCAGACTCAATTGTTCCAATGCCGGACTTCACAGCTACTCTTTTCACAAGCTGGAGGAGTCACTCCGCCTCACCACCTCCCTCCTGGAGTTACTCCACCTCCCCCCTCCCTTACCTCCAAAACTCACCTAAAAATCTTTCTTTTTGAATGTCCTTTCGAGCACTGTTACCCCCTCCTCCACTTACCTCACCCCCACCCGCAACCCCAACAACCCCCTCCCCCAATCCTCTTGATTCTGATATTCCATTGCCAGGAACCTCACCTCGGAGGCAGTTTATTTCAGCTGTGGTGAGACCCCTCTTACCCCCTCCCCCGGAGGATGTTGGTGTGTGTAATGTGCCGCTGGCTGGCTTGCGGGCTCTTGCTGGCCCGGCTTGCCTGCACGCTGTGTGCTGGAGCTGCCCTATTGGCCTGTGCTGTAAATGATAAACAGAGCCAGACCTTCAGTAAGCTGATGCCTTCCGTGCTGGTCGGGGCCACAAAGTGCTCGTCGTCATCAAAGTGAATGTTCCCCAAGCGCCAGGCGTGGGCATACTCACGGCCCGTCCCGTCAAAGACCTGAGAACAGCCTAGGTGTCTCTCTGTGGGCAACAGCACAGGCACAAGGCACCAGTCAGTGCCTGTCACACTCACAGGCACAATCACAGGCACACACTGGCACACACTGGCACACTCACTGGCACACTCACGCCTCCCCCTCTAACCAGGATGGTGAGGGAGACAGTCCCGGTGCCTGTCCCTGTCCTAGTACCTGTGCTGGTGCCTGTCCCTGTGCTGGTGCCTGACCCTATGCTGGTGCCTAGCCCTGTGCCTATTCCTGTGCTGGTGCCTATTCCTGTGCTGGTGCCTAGCACTGTGCCTGTCCCTCTTCCTGTGCCTGTGTGGCAGTGACTCACTGGTCCCGAAGCCCAGCTTGATGTCGATGTGGGAGCCGCTGGCCAGCAGGTCCTCCTGGAAGGTGAGTGGGGTGACCTCGCTCCACATGCGGAAGGCGAGCCTGAGGATCAGACGCTGGTCCTCCACACTCAGTTGTGAGCTGTAGCCCTCGGCCAGGATCCGCCATTTCAGCCGTGTCTTGGTGAAGCCCAGCTGCAGAGTCGCCGCGTCCAGGAAATCTGCCGAGCCTCGCGGCCACCTGCCGGCATCCAACACAAGCTGTAGGAACCGCCTTGCCCGAGCGGGGCCGGGGGCAGAGCCCGGGGTGATGACATCAGGGGTGGGGCCAAGGACGAGATCTGGGCCGGGGATGGGGACAGGGGCGGCAGCAGGGGTGAAGTAGGCACTAGGGATGGGGCCTGGAGCAGGGGTGGGGCCTGTGGTAGGGCCATGGGTGGGGCCAGCCTTAGAGACAGTGCCAGGAGCAGGTGTGGTTCTAGAGGGCGGGGCACGACCCTCCCCCCCGTCTGGTTCTGGCTCATTGTCTGGGGTCTTGTGGTCAGGAACACCGCACCGAGGCTTGTTCATGGCGTCGGTGGTGGCCATGTCCAGGATTCCGGTGACAGGCAGCCCATTGGCTTTCTGGAAGCTTCTGAGGGCATTGACGTACTGCGGCTTCATCTCCTGTGGCCGCACCTCTTCCTGGATGTGTCGGCGAGCGTAGCGGCCCTCCGAGAGCAGCTCGGAGATATCTGGGGGCGGAGGGTCATCGTTCAGCGGAACCGTCACGCCCCGGAATGCCAGAAGCTCCCATCTCACCGGCTTCGTCCAACCATATTTCACTAGATATTCCTGGACAGACAGAGAGAGGGGGAGACTTACTGCGGTGTGATTCCCATTGATTTTTTTTGATCAGACGGGGACACAGGCGGAAACCCATCACCATGCTTTAGAGTCTGTAAACCAAGCTGAGAATTCCACGTACCCCACCGACACATGGAAATCCCAGAGATACATTGGAGAGAAGCATCCTGTTTACCTAATTCCGGAGAGTATTAGGCGCAGGTTGGCAAGAGCCAAGGCTTGGGGAATCCCAGAATGTGCGTTGGGGGCAACTGCTGGATTCTAATCAGCTAAAACCACATTGCTTGCCACTGAGATCACTGTCTGGTAAGCTTTCCCACTGCTTGTCCAGCTAGGACCACACTACCATGGGGAGCTGAGTGGAAGGATTCCCCGCCCCTAGTGACTTTAACGGCTATTGGAACAGTGAGAAAGGAATTTGATAAATTCTTGACAAGGAGGGATATGAATAGTTGTGTACGAACAAGGAGTGGAAGTTCCTCGTGTTCTCTGTCTGTTAGACACTGAAATTACACAGAACCGGGGGAATTCTCATCCCTTCTTCATGTGGACCCTGATTTTCTGCAGTTCCTAAAAAGAAACCAGTTTCCAGGTTAAGACGGAATTTCCACAGTTCTGCAAAATCTTGGAATGGTTACACAAGCACAGGCTCTTTGGGCTCCGACCATCTAGGGTTAGGCACCCTAACCCTAACCCTAACCCCAGGTGTCAACCCTTCAGCCGTTTCATCTCATTGTTCAAGAATTCTTTCACTCCCAACCATCGCTCCACTCAGGGTTGTGTTGGACACTGTTTGTTGGGCATTGAATGATTGACATTAATAATAATGCTAATCCTTGTATTTGACATAGCACCTTATCATATTTTCGAGATGTCTCAAAGTGCTTCACAGAATATACTGTAAAGAAAATTGACTGTATATTTTGTGGGTGAAACGTGGCAGTGTCCCACAAACAGTTGTTGATTGAGTGACCAAAAAGTTTTTGTTTTGAAGGGATTATTACCTTAATTGAGTATTGGGCATTGCAGGCTTGGGCACCAGACCTGTATGATACTAGGGTTGGGCAGTGCCTATGAGCGGGTGGTTGACATTGGCATATGGTGCCCATTAGTAGTGCTCATTGGCTGGCAGTATCTGTTGGTGGGCAGTACCTATGGTCAGTGACTGGAGCTGAGTGTTGGTGTGTGATGCCTGCTGACAGGGCCTGAGTATTGGTGTGTGGTACCTGCTGTCAGGGACTGGGTTTTGGTGTGTGGTGCGCGCTTTCAGGGGCTGGGTGTTGGTTTCCGTTTTCAAGAGCTGGGTGTTGGTGGTGGTGCCCGTGCTTGGCAATGCCTTACCTGGGCTGACTCGGAGGTCAGAACTGGCCTGGCTCGCATCCAAATCCTCTCCCTGATGTCGGAGTGGTCACGGCTGTGATAGACTTTCTCACTCCCACTGGGAGCGAGCAACGTCAGGTAAATACACAGAGAACAGCCTATCACTGCCCTCGCTGGCCACCGACTGTCAGTCACTGCCCCTCGCGGGGAGCTGCCCCGCCCCCCTCTGCTCCTCATCAATAAATAGCTCCAGGAGAGGGTGAGGCCTCCTTGTCTGATCTCAGAGAGTTTCTGCCTGCGACACATGGGGGAGAAAGATCAGACGTGATTGATGGGTGAACCGTGTAAATCCACCGCTAGCTCCTCCAGCTCTCTCAGCCAACACTTCACCATGTTTGACAACCCTTCCCCATCACTCTTCCCTTCCCCCTGCAGTGAACAGGCCTCCATCCCTTCCTTGTTCCCTCCCTCACTCATACTCACTCCTTCCCTCACTCTTTTACAGAGGAGTATTTCAGAACATGCTTTGGCTTGCAGGGTCTGCATTTCCAGCCGGTGTCTGACACACATAGAAACTCATCACCTTGATTAGCCAGTGTCTGACACACATAGAAACCCATTGCCGTGATCAGCCGGTATCTGACACACATGGAAACCCATTGCCATGATCAGCCGGTATCTAATACACATGGAAACTCATCACCATGATCAGCCAGTGTCTGACACACATAGAAACCCATTACCGTGATCAGCCGGTATCTGACACACATGGAAACCCATTGCCATGATCAGCCGGTATCTAATACACATGGAAACTCATCACCATGATCAGCCAGTGTCTGACACACATGGAAATCTGCCACAATGAGCAGCTGGTATCTGACACACATGGAAACCCATCACCGTGATCAGCCGGTGTCTGACACACATGGAAACCCGTCACTGCGCTTCAGAGTCAACGAACCACACTGAGTTTCATATGTTTGCCACCCACACATGGGAATTTCCCTGTGTCTGGAATGGAATGTGCTCTCTCTCCCTGGAGGGACGCACCCCTTTATCTAATTCCAGAGAGTATTAGGCACAGGTTGGGGAGAGCCTAGGCTTGGGGATGTGAGGAGAAGGTGTCCATGGGCCGGAATATAAACTGGACAGAAAGGAAAAACAAGACGTGAACGAGGTTACAGTGGGACAGAAATTAAACGGGTCTGTACTGGGAGCCTCCTGTTCCTCATATATACTAATGACCTGGATTTGCGGACCCAATGTAAGATGATTACAATTTGCAGATGCAACCAAAGTTGAGAAGAGGGAAACTGTGGAATCAACAGAGAAACCTGTCACGCATCAACGATATCACAGAGAGATTGATAACTGGCAACGGAGTATGGACAGACAGTGAAGAGAGCTTTACTCTGTCTCTAAACCCGTGCTGTTGATCTCCTACCCTCCCTGTCTCTCCTCTCACTCTGTCTCCATCCCTCCTTCCCTTCCTCTCATTCTTTCTCTCTTTCCGTCTCTCTCTCTCTCTCTCTGGGTGAGGGCGATGTGGATGGCTGGGCTGAAGGGCTGGATGTCCCAAACTGTGGACAACCTTAACACTGGTTGTAGTGTGGGATGGAGCAGGTTAGGCTTCCTCAAGGCTGCGAATCCACCTTAAACTCCACTCCAATAAACAAGCCTTCACAAGGGAACCTGAATTCACAGACTGTTTCTCTCTTTCTACCTCTCATTCCCTCTTCCTCCCTCCAGCGTTCTCTCTCTCATTCTCTCTCTGTCTGTCGCGCTCCCTTTTTGGCTTCTCTTTATTTCTGTCTTTTTCCTTTTTGTCACTTTCTGCATGTGTCTCTCTGTTTCTCCTGTTCACCCCCCCCCCACTCTCTCGCTCTTGCCTTCTCTCATTCTTTCCCTCTTCTCTTTCTATTCTTTTTGTCTTTTGCATACAGATACACAAAACAATAAAAGTGGTATAATGTGAAGCGACAGACAGATAGACAGACAGACAAAAGGGCTGATAATATTTTTCCTGTCCAGTTATGATGCAGATAATTTGTTACTCACCCTCTTGCTGTCCTGTGTGCTGGCTCTCTATCTCTCGCTCTGCGCTGGCTCAGACCAGTGATGTTGGGTGCACGTGGCTGCTCTCACACTCTCACTTGCCAGCCTCAAGTTTTACAGCCAGATTCTTCCAGAGGGAGTGTTGGTGTTCCCTGGGCTCCAGCCAACGACAGCGCTGGGTACAGGCTCAGCCTCTCCGCTGCCTTCCCCCTCCAGCAGCGAGCTGGTCCGTGGCCAACACCCGGGGCAGTGCAGGAAAAGGCCACAGCATTCACAGCAGGGAGAGAGTGAGAGTGAGTGAGTGAGTGTGAGGAGATAGAGGCGAGAGAGCTTTCTGCAGCGCCCACCATCTCCACCGACACCCTATCCTCAACAGCCTCCACACACCATCGCCCCCATCCTCGCCATCGTCCACACCGCATCACCCCCAGCCTCACCAGCCTCCCACACCCCATCACTCCCATCCTCCCCAGCCTCCCACACCCCATCACCCCCATCCTCACCTGACTCCACAGAAAACATTTTTCCTCATCTCCCCATTTGCTTGTTTACCATCTTAAATTGTGTGTCAGCCTGGCTCAGTGCTAGCACTCTCACCTCTGAGTCAGAAGATTGTGAGTTCAAGCCCCATCAGATCTTGAAATCACACAGACTAAGCTGACACTGCAATACAGTGCAGGGGGTGTGAGGGGTGGGTGGGTGCTGCGTTGTCAGAGGGTGCCGTCCTTTGGCTGAGATGTTAATCCAAGGTCCTGTCTGCAGTTCAGGTGGATATTAAAGATCCCACAGGACTATTCGAAACGAGAAGGGAGTTTCTCTCTCCCAGTGCCTGGCCAACAATCCCCCAAATGAAATTGATCATTCACCACACGGCTGTTAGCAGGACATTGCTGTGAGTGGAACGTTGCTGTGTGCAAATTAGGTGCTGCATTCACCCACAAAACACACAGTCACTACACTTTAGAGTGAATCCCACTGAAGTGTTTTCAGATCTTTGATGTTGTCGGTTCTGAGAATATTTATCTTTTAAGAAACTACGGAAAAAGTGGCTTCAAACTGAGACTGATTGAGGAATTTACATTTTAAGCCAAATGGTTTTACGGGTGAGAACAAGTGGAATTTCAGGCCTGGGGAGCTGAGTGCGTGTGTCTGCTTTTCTGTCCTGCGAGAGGGTCCCATCATAACGGAGCCCGAGAAGGGATGGGGGGCACAGACCCTCTCTGCTCTGACCTAGTTAATTGACCTCGCGTGTTCCTGCTCTCACCTTTGTGTGCCTGTATGGCTGCCTCCCTCCCCTCCGGTGCTGAACGATTCCTGTGTGTCTCAGTGTTATCGCCTGTGTGTACAATGCACAGTATGATTCACTCCTACCTATATTATACCATCCACACTCCCAAGTCAGTGACAACACGGTTTAGAGCCAGAGTAAAGCTACCTCTACACTGTCCTTATAAACTCCCAGGTTAGTGACAACAACAACAAATTACATTTGAATAGTGGTCAGAAGGATGTTCCAAGGTGGTGGGACTGCGACCACATGGGTTAGAGACAGAGTAAAGCTCCCCCTACATTGTCCGTATACACTCCCAGGGCAGCGAGGTTGTTTGTGGGGGGAGATGGGTGAGGTAGGGTGAATGCAGTGCTTTCCCCCTCCCCCCCCCACCACCCTCTCCCCCGTGCTCACCCAAGCATAGGGATGGGGTGAAAGGTGACACAGCCCATTAGGCCAGGAGGTAAGTGGGCGTGACATTCCTGCGTGGTTGTCGGCCAGAATCCGGCTCCTTTCCTGCTCTTTCTGTTAACTCTTCACTCCCAATATTCCAACCAGAAAACTAAAGGAAAACTATTAAACAGTGTGAGTGAATGTGCGTAAGTGAGTGTGCATGTACACTCTTTCCTTCACACCCTCACTCTGCCCTTCACAACCTCGCTCCACCCTTCGCACCCGGCTCCACCCCTCATACCTTCGCTCCACCCCTCATACCCTCACTGCACCCCTCACACCCTCGCTCCGCCCCTCATACCTTCACTCCCCACACACACTCTTGCTCTGCCCCTTACCTCTGCCCCTCACACCCTCGCTCTGCCTCTTGCCGAATTCCAACATGGGTGACTCTTGGCCGACAGTTCAGGATGGTGCTCCAGCGCAGTGCTGGAGACACCATCCTCTGTATGCGGTGTTAAACCAAGTTCACGTCTGTGTCTATTCAGATAGAAGTTAAGACGAGGATGAATGAATGTGTGAGTGAATGCGTGAGAGTGAGTGAATATGGGAGTGTATCAGACTCTGAGCTGGGTGTTGACATGTGCTATAGACTAGTGCTGGGTGTTGACATGTGTTGAAACAGAGAGCGCGAGAGACTGAGAGAACAGGGAAGATCGACAGAGAGTGACCAAAAAAAAATTGACAGAAAGAGAGTGTGAATGAGAAAGTTTGACAGGGAGAATGAGAATGATTGAGAAAGAGAGCAGTGTGGATGGGGTTGGAATTGGTTGGAGATTGCTGGAGTTCAGGATGAATGATTGATATGCGTTCCATTGGCAGGAAGAGGAGCCATGGGGTGGGTGTGAGGAAGCCGTACGATCACCTGGCTGTAATCCTGAAAATCATTTTCCTAGAAATAAACCGATAAGAAGCAGATTCCTGGCAAGTCAGACAGCCAGCGCTGATAGGGCCAAACAAGGAAAGCACAGGGGTGTCTAGGCTTTCCAGGAACTGGCGATCGCTGGGCAGCGAGACAGAGAATAACAGAACAAACGAGCAAGACTGTCAATGTGGACAGACTGGGGTTTTGAGGTGATGAGAGAGATGGTGCTGAGGAATCTTGTGCGTGTGAGGTGGGCGATCATCTGCTCCTGTCTGACACTGTGTTACTGTGGGTTGGAGATGCTGTTCTTAAAATGAGTCATTAAAGTTGGTACCTTTTCAGTTCACTAGGAGTCCTGTAGTGTATTGGTTAGGGCACTCGCCTCGCAAACGAGAGGTTCCGGGAGTTGATTCCCAGACAGGGCAAAACCTTACTCCACACACCTCTGTTTACCCAGCAGTAAGTAAGAACCCAGTTGTTAGTTGATTGGTTTCTGGAGGTAATAAACTCTTCAAAAAATAAAATGTAGTCACTCAATCCACGACTGTTTGTGGAACACTGCTGTGCATAAATGGCTGCCATGTTTCACCCACAAATATACGGTCAATTCACTTTAAACTAGATTTTGTGAAACGCTTTGAAACATCTCAACAATGTGATAAGGCGCTATATCAAATGCTAGGATTATGATTACTATTATTATAAAACCATGGTTCCGTCTGTGCCTGTCAGCTCACATATTGGGGTCGGATCAAGCACAAGGATTATTTATTTATTATCAATAATTAGTTACAATAAATGGCAACAGGATAGAGAGTTATAGCAACAAATAATCAGATAGAATATATAAAAATAAAACCCATTTTTACAAATTTACCCACAACCTGATGTTACAGTGAAGGCACCAGTTATTGACAGAGATCCCCCCATTCTGCAGCCCTCGTGGGACATACACCTTTGTGTAACAAGCACCATGGGGAGTGGGGGGAGATGATCACTAGGGGGTTGGAACGAGGATGGCATTTTGGGGGCAGATGTCCATCAAATAGAGGTTAGGGGCGCAAGCTGCTGGAAGGCATTACCTAGGGTCCGAGTTCGTGAACACGTTCCTACATACAGCACCTGGAATCCACCGATTGGCTTGCAGAAAGGCAAGCAGCTGCTGCTTAAACGCTGCACCCTCAACTATTGGAATGGACGTGTGCTTGAACTGCAGACAGGAAGATGGTGGCAATGCTCTCGTGCATTTCATACTGAGCTGTGCAAGCCCTTGACTGTCCAGTGCCTTGGGATGTTCTCCCGACGTTAAAGGCACTATACAAATGCTACTTGTTGTTGCTGTTGTGTTGCCCATCGAGAGGGTCACGGGAAGTTCCTGGTACCTACCATCCGCCTAGCGAAAGCTCAAACCTACGCTTGTCGGATGTCGAATGATCAACTCGCGTCCTTTCAGGGAGAGAATCCAACAATCTATCCCTGGAAGTTCCATGTGTAGATGGGATACATAGAATTCTCAGTTTTGTTTGGATACTCATCCGCCCTCACACCCTCTGTGTCCTCACACTCCACCACTGTCAAGCACTCTGGGACGCTACCCTGCATGGGGGGCGCTATATAAATGCAAGTTGTTGTTGTTGGGTTTCTGCATGTGTCAGACACCCGGTTGACCCAAAATTATAACTGCAACTGTGCACACAGTTCCATGCATCCCACCTATACATTGAAATCCAAGATATAGATTGTTGGAATGGAAGGCACACTCTTCCCCTGGAGGGACACATCCTAATTCCGGAGAGTATTAGGTGCAGGTTGTCAAGAGCCAAGTCTTGGGGATCCCAGAGAGTGCGTTGGGGTAACTGCTGGAACCCAGCTAAAGCCACATAGCTTGTCATTGAGAGCACTGTCTGGCAAGCTTTCCCACTGCTTGTCCAACTGGGACCATCCTACCCATTAGGGCTTTGGTTTGCAGGGTTAACAGGAGCTGAGTGGGAGGATTCCCTGCCCCCAGTGACTGGTCTGCCCTTCCAAGTCCTCCCGATGAGCCAGGCTGGGCTGAGCTGTCATCAGCAGTGCCCTGGAATACTGTGGACCCGGCTTGGTTCAGGAACCGGACTAGAGACCGTCACAGAGGGCATTCTGACATTCTATTGCCAAATATGTCACCCTGGAGCCAGTTCAGCTCAGAGGAAACCCAGCTTTCCTCCTACCCCCAGGAGGAGGATAGTTGGTTATTTGACTTCTGACAGATACAAGCTGAGCTCCCACTAGGTGGATAACAGGTACTAGGCACTCTCTGCAAACTTCCTACCCCTCACTGCCCTCCTCTCCTCCCCCTCATTGGCCTCCCCCTCATTGGCCTCCCCCTCATTGGCCTCTCCCTTTTAATTGGAGAGGAAGTCGATAGCGACCTTGACGGAGCGGGCGGTGGTCATGTCCATGCCGGTCACTCTGATCTCTGTGTCACCAAATTGCATGCTGGTCCTGATCTCTCGGCGGTGCCGGGAGCTGCCGGTGGGGGGCTGGTCAGGGGATGCCTGTGGGAGGTCCAGGCTGATGGTGCCGCACTTGCGGACGCCCGGCTCAGTGACGTAGGCCACGCTGTCGGCTGCACTGCAGTAGATGTTGATGAGGATCTTGCTCTGGCCACGCCGGGCTGGAGTGTAGCTGCGGTGAACCACCTCACCTACCGCCACTGACTGATCGGCTGCCACGAAGCTGTCAAAGACATCAGTGCACCAGCGCACACCGTCCTTCACCAGCAGCTTGTCCTGCGGGTGTTTGCCCTCCACAAAGGTGTTGAGGACCCCCACCCCGTAGGTGAGGGGCGAGCGCCGCACACGCACCACCCCGGGGTCCAGGCCAAACAGCACCGCCCCCTTCAGGATGGTCAGCCCCACATCCTGGGGGATGATAACCCGACACTTGCCGCCCAGCATCCCCTGCACTGCCTGCTGCAGCATCGCCGACTCGGCAAAGCCCCCCACCAAGAAGAGGAACCGCACCCCCCCGACCTCAGGTCTTCGCATCAGGTTCTCTGTGTGAGAGAGAGAGAGAGAGAGAGACATAGGGAGTGAGCGGGTGAGAGCATGAGAAAGAGGAAGAGAATGAGAGAGAGGAGGGGAGAGAGAGTGAGAAAGAGGAGGGAGATAATGAGACATTGAGGGGAGAAAGGGTGAGTGAGACAGAGTGGGAGGAAAGAGAGAGCGGAAAGAGAGATGGGGAGTGTGTGAGAGAGATAAGAGGATTGAGAGGGAGAGACAGACAGTGGGGTGGGCGGGTGGAGGGGAGGAAGGAAGGAAGAGAAAGGAGGGAAAGAGGGACAGTGAGACGATGACAGTGGGAGGGGGGAGGAGAGAGAGAGATTTACACAGACTGTACAGCATGAAAATTGGCCACTCGACCCAACCAGTCTGTGCCGGTGTTTATACTCCACACAAGTCTTGGCCCACAACTTACTCCCTCCCACACCCTCTATTTCCCTCTGCTTCATGTGAAGGTTCAGCTTCCTCTTGAATGCATCTACATTATCTGATTCAACCACCACTTCAGGCAGCGAGTCCACAATCTCACTACCCTCTGTGTTAGGTCCCCCTTTAAACATCACATCTCCTCACTTTATACGCTAGCCTCTGGATATAAAGTCCAGGACCCCATTGGCCTTTTTATAGCCTTATCCACCTGTGTAGCTATTTTTAGAGATTTGTGGATCTGAATCCCCAGATCTCTTTGCTTCGCTATTCCTCTTATGTTCCTACCATCTATATCAGTGGTGGCCAACCTTTTTGGTCAGCCAACGAAATAAATTTTCTTGGTTAAACATTTCTGGATTTATGCCATAAATTTGCACATGACACCAAACTGTGAATTAATTTGCATTTTTCTATATTAAACTTCATTTGCTACCAGTCTGCCTATCCTGCAAGCCTGTTTATATCTACCTGCATTCTTCTGCATATCGTCTTTACTGTTTATAGCCCCCCACCCCCAGTTTTGTGTCATGTGCAAACGTTGACACCACACCTATATCTGAATCCAAATTAGTTATGCATATGGTGAACAGCAGTGGTCACAACATGGATCCCTGCGTAACTTCCTGCTTCTTGCCATTCTGAGGAGATGCTCTTGACTCCTACCCTTTGCTTTTGGTTTCCTAACCATTCTTTAATCCATTCTGCTGCCTCTCCACACACCCCTATTTTACTCACGAGCTTCTCATGTGGCACTTTATCAAAAGCTTTCTGGAAATCCAGATACACCGCACTTCCCTCATCTATTTTATTGGTTATATCTTCAAAGAATTTGCTAAGGTTGGTCAAGTGTGACCTTGCTTTCATGAACCTATGTTGGCTGCACACAATTATATTCTCCTTCTCCAGATGACTAGTTACTTCATCTTTTATTATGGATTCCAAATACCTCATCCACAGCCAATATTAAGCTGACTGGCCTGGAGTCTCCTGAATTAGCTCTATCACCCTTTGCTGGAGTTTAACTGGGTAAAACCACTAGTTTACTATTGAGAAGAAAGAGACAGAGCCCGAGGGAGAGGGATGGGGAGCAGGAGGGGGAGATGGGGAGCGGGGGGAAAGAAAAGAGAGAGAGCTGGAGAGAGGGGGAGGTGACTGTGTGGGGAGGGGGAGCAAGGTAGAGGGGGAGCGATGGGGGAGGACAGGTGAAGGGGTTACTGACCTATGTGCTGAAGCACCTGTTTGATAGTCGGCTGGAAGAGCTGGTTAATGGCCTCAGGAGAGAGACGCAGCATTCCCTGAGAGGACCATTGGACTGCGTTACATCTGGGGACAGAGAGAGAGAGAGAGAGAGAGTGTGTGAATGCAGAGAGAGAAAGCGAACAGAGAGAGAGTGAACAGAGAGACAATGAAAGTAAACAGAGAGAAAAGAGAGAGAAAGATAAAACAGTGAGAGAACAGAGAGAGAATCCTAGAAATTTTCAGCCCAGAAGGAGGCCATTCGGTCCAGAGTGTCTGCCTTGGCTCTCAGAGCACCTATCCATCCAATCCTCCTACTCCTCTCTATCTCCACATCCCTCTCTCACTCTCTCTCCCACACATTCTCTCTCTAAAATTCTCCCCCCCCCACTCTCTCACACTCTCTCTCCCTCTCTCTCTTTCACTTCCTCTCTCTCACACACATACTTTCTCACACGCATGCACTCTCTTGCTCTCACAGACACACTCTCACACTCTCTCTCTCACTCTCTCTGATCTCCTACGTGCTCCTCCTGATGGCAGCCTCCACGCTCTGTGATCTGTGCCTCCTGTAGAAGTCTATGAAGGAGAAGGGCAGGGAGATATTGAGTGCGTTGGGCCGGTTGGGTGATGCTGTCCGTTTCCGGGCCTCAAAGGCAATCATCAGGTCCACCCAGGCGGCCGGTCTCTTCAGCTTAAAACAACGAATGAAATCCCAGCCGAAAATCTGTCCCAGCAAATCCTCGAAGGCCAGGTCCACACCCAGCGCCCCGTGAGGGCCCCCTGCGAGAGAGACACCAACGTGAATGAGAGACACAACACCAATGTGAGCGAGAGACATATCACTGTGAGCGAATTTTGTCTCTCTGTGAGTAGAGTGTGTTGAGCAGGAGACATAACACCAACGTGAGGGTGTGATGTGAGCACACAATAGATACTGGCCATGGAAAAAAAGAACAAAGAGATCTGACGTTTAATAGCATCTAATGTGGAGGGATTTTGCATGTCCGAGGGTTTACAGCACACTGACAGCACATGCAGGTGTGTTGTGTATGGAGTGTGCTGCGTTGAGCTCTGCTTGTCACAAACTATGTCTATGTATCAGTACCTGCCTGGCTCAGGGAGTCCACCATTACACTATATAAAAGCACATAGCTTGCCATTGATATCGGTGTCTTGCAAGCTTTCCCGCTGCTTGTCCAGCTAGGACCACCCTACCCATTAGGGCTTTGCCTTGCAGGGTTAACAGGAGCTGAGTGTTAGAATTACCTGCCCCCCCACCGTGACTGGTCTACCCTTCCAGGTCCTGCCAACGAGCCAGACAGGGCTGTGCTGTCATCAGCGGTGCTCTGGAATACTGCAGACCTGCCTTGCTCATGAACCGGAAGAGAGACCAGTCACAGAAGGTGGGTTTGAATCTGACATTCAGTTGCCAAACATGTCACTTTGGAGCCAGTGGAGCCCTGGAAACCCTGGCCGCTCCCCACAAGGAGTGGACTGTGTGTTCCTGTAGCCAGTCATTGTGGGGCTTGAGGTGATACCATTTCTAGCCACGAGGTGGTGATTCTGCTCCACCTGCCCAGGTCCAGCAGTGGCTGAACCTGAGTGAGAGACATGGGGCTCTCAGTCTCTGGCTTTCTCCCCGTGTCCATGAGCCCAGCTCTCTCCTCAGTCTTGGTCTCACTCAGTCTCCTCCACCCTCACCTACGGCTCAGAGGGTTGTGTTTTCAGTACAGAAAACTTTCCCTTCTCTTTTCCAATAGCTCCGCGGGATCTTTCACATCCACCTGGACAGGCTCAGATGGAGCCTTGGTTTAATGTCTCATCTAAAGGATGGCACTTCTGCCCCAACCCCTCAGCGCAACACTGGAGCCTGGGCCTGGACTGTGATCGCAGAGACCCAACGTGGAGCATGAACCCACATCGTTTTGAACCAGGCGAGAGGCAGAGATGAAAGATTCCTTTGCATATAATAAGGGCTCATCCTATCGATTGTAAGGAAAGCATTGATTGACCTCAGACCCTCAATCCCTTGCCCCCAACACTCACACCCTTTGACCATCACCACTGGCCTTGAGCCCCAATTGGTTCCACATCCGAACCACCCCCTGTCCAGTGCTGGGTACCTAAGTGTGGTGTGGTGAGGTGTACTGAGGTGAGATGTAGTGAGGTGTGTAGTGAGGTGTAGTGTGGTGTGGTGAGGTGTGATGAGCTGTGTTGTGTAGTGAGGTGTGGTGCGGTGTGAGGTGTAGTGAGGTGTGCTGTTGTGCGGTGTGGGGTGTAGTGCTGACCTGAGGCCTTGTACAGCTCTTTCAGTGTTCCCCGTGATTCCTCGATCTGGTGCACCGTCAGGTCCACGGTGCCACCACCACAGTCAGCCACAATGTATTGGTCACCTGTCACACCGACACGGTCAGAGCAGGTCAGGGGTCAAACACAAACAACCCTCAGTGCTACGACCCCCTGTCTGTACAGCCCCTTTCCTCAGTGACCACTCCCCTTACGACCCCTACCCCCGCACCCTCCCACCCTGAATGTGACCCTCCCTGCCCCACCTCCCCTACCTGGTTGCATCTCCGCCCACAGCTCGCCAACGCCTGTCTCCACCAGGAAGGTGCGGCTGTGCCGAGAACGTCTCAGCTGTTCCCGGGCTGTGGGAGACAGGAAAAAAACACATTCGATCCTACGATTTCACTCACCCCAGCCCACCCCAACTCAGCCCAACCTAGCCCAGCCCACCCAAATCCCCCACCCCCGCCCAACCCAACTCAGCCCAACCTAGCCCAGCCCACCCAAATCCCCCCCCCCACCCCAGCCCACCCCAACTCAGCCCAACCTAGCCCAGCCCACCCAAATCCCCCCCCCCACCCCAGCCCAACCCTCCCCACCCCAGCCCCACTGCAACCCAGCTCCACCCCAGCCCCACCCCACATCAATCCAGCCCATCCCAGCCCTCGCCACCCCACGCCAACCCAACCCTCTCCACCCCACAACATCTCACCCCAACACACCCCACAGCGGAGGGGTGACAGGTGGGAAGGGGAGCGGGGACGGTACAGGGGAGGAGAGTGGGGACGGTGTGGGGGGAGGAGAGCAGGGACGGGAGGAGAGCGGGGGGGCAAGGGTGGGAGGAGAGCTGACTAACCCTGTCTGAAGCTGGAGTGGATGGAGCCGGGGCTGGGGCAATTGCCCGGTCGGGTCCCCGGGTGCTGGGGGCTCAGCTCATGCAATTGGTGGAGACGTAGTTTTCGACAGTAAATCGCTGCTGCCTCAGGCTCCAGGGCGATCAACAGCTGCTCCGCGAACTCACGGGAGGCCAGGCCCGCCTGGGAGAGACCCCGACACTGAGCACTCCTCCAACATTGAGTGCCCTCTCCTGCGACACTGAGCTCCCACCTCCCCGTGACACTGAGCTCCCACCCCCCCCACCCGCGACACTGAGCTCCCACCCCCCCCACCCGCGACACTGAGCTCCCACCCCCCGCGACACTGAACGCGCACCCCCCCGCGACACTGAGCGCCCACCCCCCCGTGACACTGAGCTCCCACCCCCCCCGCGACACTGAGCTTCCACCCCCCCCACCGCGACACTGAGCTCCCACCCCCCCGCGACACTGAACGCGCACCCCCCCCGCGACACTGAGCTCCCACCCCCCGTGACACTGAGCTCCCACCCCCCCCCCCGCGACACTGAGCTCCCCCCCCCCCCCCCCCCCGCGACACTGAGCTCCCACCCCCCCGCGACACTGAGCTCCACCCCCCGCGACACTGAGCTCCCACCCCCCGCGACACTGAGCTCCCACCCCCCCGCGACACTGAGCTCCCACCCCCCCGCGACACTGAGCTCCCACCCCCCGCGACACGGAGCTCCCCCCCCCGCGACACTGAGCTCCCACCCCCCCCGCGACACTGAGCTCCGCACCCCCCCCGCGACACTGAGCTCCCCCCCCCCCGACACTGAGCTCCCACCCCCCCCGCGACACTGAGCGCCCCCCCCCGCGACACTGAGCGCGCCCCCCCCCGCGACACTGAGCGCCCCCCCCCGCGACACTGAGCGCCCCCCCCCTCGCGCGACACTGAGCGCCCCCCCCCTCGCGCGACACTGAGCGCCCCCCCCCTCCGCGCGACACTGAGCGCCCCCCCCCTCGCGCGACACTGAGCGCCCCCCCCCCTCGCGCGACACTGAGCGCCCCCCCCCTCGCGCGACACTGAGCGCCCCCCCTCGCGCGACACTGAGCGCCCCCCCCCCTCGCGCGACACTGAGCGCCCCCCCCCCTCGCGCGACACTGAGCGCCCCCCCCCCTCGCGCGACACTGAGCGCCCCCCCCCCTCGCGCGACACTGAGCGCCCCCCCCCTCGCGCGACACTGAGCGCCCCCCCCCCTCGCGCGACACTGAGCGCCCCCCCCCCCGCGCCCCCCCCCTCGCGCGACACTGAGCGCCCCCCCCCTCGCGCGACACTGAGCGCCCCCCCCTCGCGCGACACTGAGCGCCCCCCCTCGCGCGACACTGAGCGCCCCCCCCCTCGCGCGACACTGAGCGCCCCCCCCCTCGCGCGACACTGAGCGCCCCCCCCCTCGCGCGACACTGAGCGCCCCCCCCCTCGCGCGACACTGAGCGCCCGCCCCCCCTCGCGCGACACTGAGCGCCCCCCCCTCGCGCGACACTGAGCGCCCCCCCCTCGCGCGACACTGAGCGCCCCCCCACCTCGCGCGACACAGAGCGCCCCCCCCACCTCGCGCGACACTGAGCGCCCCCCCACCTCGCGCGACACAGAGCGCCCCCCACCTCGCGCGACACAGAGCGCCCCATCCCCACCTCGCGCGACACAGAGCGCCCCATCCCCACCTCGCGCGACACAGAGCGCCCCCATCAACACTGAGGCCCCCCTCAGCCGCCCTCACTCACCAGGTATGCGGCTTCCCTCATGAACTGTTTCGCCGGCTGTTTCCATATAGCGGGGACTGTGATCACCCAGCGCACAGCCTCCGCCTCTAGTGGCTCCTGGGCATGATCGGCAAGCTCCTGTACACAACACAGAACACAGCCAGTCACTGTGTAACCTCACACAGCCAGTCACTGTGTAACCTCACACAGCCAGTCGCTGTGTAACCTCACACTGTGTAACCTCACACAGCCAGTCACTGTGTAACCTCACACAGCCAGTCGCTGTAACCTCACACTGTGTAACCTCACACAGCCAGTCACTGTGTAACCTCACACTGTGTAACCTCACACAGCCAGTCACTGTGTAACCTCACACTGTGTAACCTCACACAGCCAGTCACTGTGTAACCTCACACTGTGTAACCTCACATACCCTTCAGTCATTATCCCCATTTCTCATTCCTTATTATCTTATAATATTGATCATCCCGTGGGGTGGGGGTTGCGGTGTGTGGGGGGTGAGGTGTGTGGGTGGTGAGGTGTGGTGGGGGGGTGAGGTGGGTGGTGTGTGTGTGGGGAGGGCTGAGGTGTGCGTGGGGGTGAGCTGAGTGGTGTGTGGGAGATGTGGGTTGTGCTGGTGTAGGGGATCCGTACCATCAGGGCGTGGTGTCGGAAGTAAGAGAGTGCGTGGGAGAAGACCTGGAGCGCTCGGAGCCGCTTCCCATTCACAGCTTCCAACTCCGTGTCCATCGTCAGCTCCTGGAACACACAGTGAAATCTCTGTATTTCACTCCACACAGACACCCGCGCCCCATGCAGAGACCCTCACCCCACGTACAGAGACCCTCGCCCCACACCTACAGGCCACCTACGCTGGTGCTGTGGATTTTCATTTTGAACTTGTCGAAGTAGAGCCAGTGTTTAGCCTCCTCGGGCTCCAGGTCGTGGTAACAATCTCTGGCCGCGAAACCAAAGCTGTGGAATTGTGCAGCTGGCGTCAGGAGCAGGCAGGTCGGGGTCTTCTGGTTAGCAACGCCAGGGTCTCCACCTTCCCACCGCCTGGCACAGAGGCAGCCATCAATCTCACATTACACATAGTCTAGCAAAACATCCACAGGGCATGCAATACACACTGCATCCCACTACAACCCTACACAGCATGTAATACACCCCGCACAGCATGTAAATCACCCCATTCAGCATGTAATGCACCCCACACAGCATTTAGTACACTGCACACAGCATCCCACTACACACAGCATCCCACTACACACAGCATCCCACTACACACTATTGGATACTCATTAAGACAATAAGGACCAATTGACTAGGACCAGTGGAAGGGGATCAGGAGGCAGAAAAGCAGCAAGTAGGGAGAACTGAGTAGAGGGCTTTTAGTTGGACTGTTTAATTTTGTAACTGGTGAGCTGCAATAAAAGAGTTGTAGACATTGTTTGGTGAGGACATAACACACCCCGCATCCCAAGGCACCCCGCATCCCAAGGCACCCCGCATCCCAAGGCACCCCGCATCCCAAGGCACCCCGCATCCCAAGGCACCCCGCATCCCAAGGCACCCCGCATCCCAAGGCACCCCGCATCCCAAGGCACCCCGCATCCCAAGGCACCCCGCATCCCAAGGCACCCCGCATCCCAATACACTCCACGCAACACCCCAATACACCCCACACAACATCCCAATACATATACCATCCCAATACACCTCACACAGTGGTCAACTATAATGCAGATTATAGTACGGAATAAAGCTACCTCTACTCTGTTCATCCAAACTCCCAGGTCTTTATTAGGGACGGAGTAAAGCTCCCTCTACACTGTGCATCCACGCTCCCAGGTTAGGGTTAGAGACACAGTAAAGCTCTCTCTGCACTGTCTGTCCACTCCCAGGTCAGTGGTAGGGGTAGAGTTGAGCTCCTCTCACCTCATCATGTGGATGGACTCGGGTTCGTGGGTCAGGCTGTATGCATAGCCACTGGCTGTCGTCCCGAAGTCAATGGCGATGACCACCTGGAATGGCTGGTAGTGCGGAGAGCCACCGTCCGATCTCTGTAAACCGGCAGGAGTCAATGTGGCCCATAACTGTGTCAGTCTCACATCTGTGTGTGTATGTGTGTGACTGTGTGTGTTGTCTGTCTGTCTGTGTATAAATGTATGTGAGCATATGAGAATGTGTGTGGTGAGTGTGTGAGTGAATGAGTGTGTGTACATGAGTGTGTCTGTGTGTGAGTGAGTGTGTGCGTGAGTGAGTGTGTATTTGTGTGTCTCTGAGTGTGTGTATATGTGTTTGTGTGTGAGTGAGTGTGTGCCCCCACGGTGTATGTGGTGATGATCACATACCAGGGTGGGTGAGGGTGTCAGGGGGGCGACACCACAGCTGTCCCCTAGTAATGGTGAGTTCGGGGGGGATGGAGTCAGTGATCTCTCATCCCCATTGTCTAGCAAAAGAAACAAAATGTTATAGACATCCACAAACACTCACACAGACATAGCCTCATACCCACCCTCGCACACTTTCACACATACCCTCACATCCTCATTTTTTTAGGATTCAGCTGGATGTCTGACATATGTAGAAACTCATCATCATACTTAAGAGTATCCAAACCAAGCTGAGATTTCCACGCATCCTACCTACATATGGAAATCCCAGAGATAGATTGTTGGAATGGAACGCACACTCTCTCCCTGGAGGGACACATCCTGTTTACCTAATTCCGGAGAGTATTAGGCGCAGGTTGGCAAGAGCTAAGGCTTAGGGACCCCAGAATGTGTGTTGGGGAACTGCTGGAGTCTAACCAGCTAAAACCATATAGTTTACCATTGATGGGTTTGTCTGGCAAGCTTTCCCACTGCGGGTCCAGCTAGGACCACCGTACCCATTAGGGCTTTGGCTTGCAAGGTTAACAGAAGCTGAGTGGGATGATCCCAATGACTGGTGTGCCCTTCCAATTCCTGCCAATGAATTGTCATCACCAATGCCCTGGAATACTAGGGACCCGCCTGGCTCAGGAAGCGGACTAAAGACCGTCACAGAGGGCTGGCTCGATTCTGACATTCCATTGCCAGGCACGTCACCTTGGGGCCAGTTCAACTCTAAGGAGATCCTACTTATCTACACCCTCATACACACCCTCACACAGCCTCGTACACAGACACACACAGTATAATAATCTCTACAGAGAGTCTGTAAAACCAAATGTTTCAAAATGCTTCACAGGATTCACTCTAAAGTGTAGTGACTGTTTTGTAGATGAACATCGCAGCCAATTTGCGCGCAGCAACATCTCACAAACAGCCATGAAGTGAATGAGAGACTTTCCAAGATCACATGATTGATTTGGATAAAGAAGACCCTTCGACCCACCTGATCTCATCCTCCAGAATCTCAACCGTACCATACCCCCATCATGGCATCAAGCTCCTAATTAAATCAGTCCTGTGTCCGGGGCTCAACCACCCTTGCTGGTTCCACTGTACCCCTCAACTTGGTGTTGCACTGTCTTGGAGTTTTTTCAATCTTATTTAAAATATTAACACCTCTATAACATCTTCTCTGAGTCACCTTGTCTCCAGACTGATGAGCCCGAGTTTGTCTAATCGTTGCTCACAGCTCATTCCTCTAACACTAGGGATCAGCCGCGTTGCTCTCCTCTGCACTGTCTCTAGGGTCTGAGCAGCCCCTTATGTCACAGTGACCAGGACTGTCTGCAGTGTTCAAGGTGGGGCCTGACCCGAGCCCTGTCCAGTGTGACGTCTGGGGATCTGAACTCACATGATTGACAATCTAGCGTCCTGTTTGCCTTGTTTATTGCTGCCTCACACTGTGTGACATAGTGAGGAACGAGTCAACTAACACCTCGAGATCTCTCTCAGCTCCTCCTTGGCAAGTTCTGTCCCATTCGTGGAGTATTTGTGTTTCCTATTCTTGGATCCTATACGTAGTGCCTTACATTTATTAGTATTAAACTTCATTTGCCAGTTATCAGCCCATGTGCACACACCCTATCAGGCTCTCTTTGTAGGGCCTTTGCTGCCTCCTCTGATTCCACTGTACCCCCCGACTTGGTGTCATCTGCAAGTGTAACTGTCTTACACTGGGTCAGTGAATCCAGGTCATTAACATATACAAAGAATAGGCTTGATCTGGGGGATTGTTGGCCAGGACACAGAGAGAGAGAAACTCCCTTCATTTTTCAAATAACGCCACAAGATCTTTAATGTCCGCTTGAACAGGAACAGACGGGACCTCAATTTAACATTTCATCCAAAGGACGGCACCTCTGACAATGCGGCGCTTTTGCCACCACCGCATTGGAGCATCAGCCTGGACTCTGACAGTCTCTGACAGTACAGGATGAAGTTAGGCACAGATGACATTGGCTGTTACAGGCACTCGAGACAAGAGGGTGATGGAGGCTGTGTTCTCAATCTCAGACTGTCAGCTAGTCTGCCAGGAGAGGCCTGCAGTTAGACTCCCTCCTCGCTCCCCACTTCCCCCCCACCGATAGAAGTGGAGCCAGGGTTTGCCGAGTGCCCCTCCCCCCAGCCCCCGCAGCTCACGCCGCACCATATAACAAGAAACAGATGTAAATTCTTCCACACACACAGACCGAGCCAGAGGCCCCACTCCCCCACTCCCAGCCTCACGCTCCCACAGCAAGAGGGTAGAGGTGGGGGGGGGGGGCGAGAAGGGGGAAGCGAGGGGAGAGTGAGGGGAGAGCAAGGGGGCGAGCAAGGAGGAGAGCGAGGAGGGACAAGGGGGGCATTAAGGGAGAGCGAGGGGGCGAGTGAGGGGGAGAGTGAGGTGGCGAGTGAGGGGGAGAGTGAGGGAGAGAGCAAGAGGGAGAGAGAGGGGGAGAGTGAGGGGGGAGACTGAAGGGAAGAGTGAGGAGATGAGGGGAGGGCGAGTGAGGTCAGCAGAAAGCGAGCAGAACAAGGGGGCAAGCAGGTGGGGCAAGTAAGGGGGCACGAGTAAGGGGGAGTGAGGGTAGAGCGACGGGGCGAATAAGGAGGGTGAGGGGAGAGCGAGGGGGTGAGTGAGGGGGCAAGTGAAGGGAAACAAGGGGGCAAGCGAGGGGGTGAGGAAAGAGCGAGGGGCGGACAAGGTAGGGCGAAGGCTTGAGCAAGGGGTTAGGGGAGAGTAAAGGGGTGAGCGAGGGGGACAGGGAGTGGGAGGAGTGAGGACTGAGTGAGTGGTGAGAGAGGGAGTGAGCAAGGGGGCAAGGGGGAAGCAGGGGGGCGAGTAAGGGGGGTGAGTAAGGGGAATGAGAGGAGAGCGAGAGCATTCGTGAGGGGACAAGCGCGGGGAGTTGAGTGGGTGAGCGAGGGGGGCGAGGAGAGAGCGAGGGGGTGGGCAAGAGGGGGCGAAGGCTTGAGCAAGGGGTTAGGGGATAGTAAGGGGTTGAGCGAGGGGGAGGATTGAGGAGTGAGTGGTAAGCGAGGGGGCTATGCTGAGTGCTACTGGCACCAGGCTGTCCTGGGCAGTGTGGGCACAATAACAGGATAACAATGGCCCTTTAAGAGCCTGGCTGAGTGAGGGGGGGAGGGGGGGCTTTGGGAATGCTCAGCCCTTCCCGCCATTGTCTCCGTGTTTTTTTGGGAAGTGGGCGTCTCCTGGGAAAGGGATCTGAGCCTCTCCCGTGTCGGCTGGAATCTTGGCTGCGATCCCACTGCTCAGCTCCCCTGTCAGACAGTGAGTGGGAGCAAGCGGGGATTCAGACGGGGGACAGTGTGTGAACGTGTGGACGGTGGCCATCCCCGCTCCCGGCCCTACACACACCACACTGTCCTCACACACACACACACACACACATCGTCCACACACAAACACCATGCACACACACACCGTGCACACACACACACACACAGACACACCGCCCACACACACACAGATCGTCCACACACAAACACCATGCACACACACCATGCACACACACGCACACCATCTACATACACGCACTGTGCAGACACACACATACACACCGCCCACACCACACGACGTCCAGACACACACACACAGTGTCCACACACACAAACACACCATTCACACACACACACCACCGTCCACACACATACACCATCCACACACACACACGCCCTTCAATACACACACACCGCCCACACACACACACACCATCCACACTCACACACCATCCACACACATACACCGTCCACACACGCACACTGTCCACACACACACACCATCCACACACACATGCACACACACATACACACACACATCGCCCACACATACATAACGTGCAGACACACACACCGTCCAGACACACACACATAGTGTCCACACACACAAACCGTCCACACACACACACCGTCCACGCACGCACACCATCCACACACGCACACCATCCACACACACACACCATCCACACACACACACACACCATCCACACACACACAAACCATCCACACACTGTCCACACACACACATACCGTCCACACACATATACACACACCGTCCACACACACACACAAACACACCATATACACATACGCGCACACGCGGGCACTGTCGACCCACACAAACACACCTTATACACTTATTTTTATATTATTATTATTATACAGTCCACACACACACCATCGACACACACACTCACACATGCACCGTCGACACACACACTGTCCACACACGCACACCATCCACACACACTCTCTACACACATACACCGTCCACACATACACATACACACCATCCTCACACACACATGCACACAGGTACACATACACACACACACACAACTCTGACAGGAGCAACTCTACCTCCATCTGAACCATCTCGGGAAGGTGGAGGATGGTGGGGGGCACCTACAAATCTCACCTACAAATGAAACTGCACGAGAGATGTCTGTACAGTGAGGGATGTCTGTACAGTGAGAGATGTCTGTACAGTGAGGGATGTCTGTACAGTGAGAGATGTCTGTACAGCGAGGGATGTCTGTACAGTGAGGGATGTCTGTACAGTGAGGGATGTCTGTACAGCGAGAGATGTCTGTACAGTGAGAGATGTCTGTACAGCGAGAGATGTCTGTACAGAGAGAGATGTCTGTACAGCGAGAGATGTCTGTACAGAGAGAGATGTCTGTACAGTGAGAGATGTCTGTACAGTGAGTCCTACCTGTGTTGAGACTCCTCATGTCTGTGTTTACAGTTGTCATGTTTATCCTCTGTCAGGCTCCAAAACATCAACTTTCCTGTAAAAGAAGGGAAAGGAGTTCCCGGGCTGGGTGTCAGTGCTGATGCTGTTCTAGCTGTCGCTGCCGCTGCCTGGCTGTGTGTTGCTCAGTCGCTCCCTGGCCGGCCAACGCGCAGTGTCACTGACTGTAGCTCACAGCTTCACTAAACCCTATAACAAGAAGCAGATGGAGTTGTGCTGACTGATTGCAGCTCTCTGCTGGTGGAGCTGTTAGACAGTGAGGTGATGGTGGGGGGGTGGGCTCAGAGCAGGAGTCGCCAGCAAAGTCCCCCGCCCAGGCTGCCCTCCCACCCCCCCGGACGTCCTGACTAACTCACTAGTTATTAATAGTCACTCTGGCAGTCAAGGGGTTTGAAAAGAGACGCCCCTCCCCAGTCCCTGCCTCGCACGTTAACCCCTTCCTCTCTGACCCAGCCTCTGGCTCAGCTATTCACACTCGCGCCTCCGGGTGAGGAGCTTGTGTGTTTGAGCTCCCCCACCCTCCCCCATCACATCAGATTGAGCTCACAGTCCAGGCTGATGCTCCAGTGTAGTGGGGGGGGAGAGAGTGCTGCATTGTCAGAGACGCCTGTGCCCTGTCCAGGTGTACATTAAAGATCGCGCTGTGCTATTCAAAAAGAGAAGAGTTTCTCTATCCAGAGTTCTATAATAATAATCCTTGCATTTGATAAAGCGCCTTTCAATCGCAGCATCAGTCGCACAGGTAAAATCAGTCACTCACTTCACATCTGTTTGTGGTATGTCGCTGTGCACAAATTGGCTGCCGTGTTCACCCACAAAATACACAGTCACTACACTTTACAGTGAAATCTGTGAAGTGGTGTGAGAGGTTTTGATAAGAATCTGTAGCAAGGGAGTGAGGGAAGGAAGGGTGAGGGAGGGAAGGAGGGAGGGAGGAGGGAAGGAGAGAGTGATGGAGGATGGGGGGGACAGGGAGTGATGGAGGAAGGAGAGAGGGAGGATGGAGGGACGAAAGAGGAGGAAGGGAAGGAGGGAGGAAAGAGGGAGGGAGGGAGGGAGTAATGGAGGAGGGATGGAGTGGTGCGGAATGGAGGGAGGGAGGGGGAGAGAAGGAGGTTGTGAGAGAAGGAGGAGGGATGGAGTGATGGAGGAGTGAGGGAGGGAGTGACGAAAGAGGGAGGAAGGAGGGAGTGACGAGGGAGGCGGGAGGGAGGGAGTGATGGAGGAGGGAGGGAGTGATGGAGGAGGGGGAGTGACGGAGGAGGGAGGAAGGAAGGAAGGAAGTTAGGAGTGAGGGAGGGGGGAGCGATGGAGGAGATGAATTGAGTCTTGGTTTAAGAAAACAAAGTGTAAAACTAAGAAAATGTATAATTTGTGGGTTTGGTTAGCTGCCAGATTGGGGCCCTGGGCTGCTTATTTACACCCCTGCTGTGTCTCTCTCACTCCCTCTCTCTTTTTCTGTCTCTGTCTCTCTCACACCCTCTCTCTTTCTCTCTCTCACACTATCTTTTAACTCTCTCTCACGCATTCTCTCATTCGCTATCTCTCTATCTCTCACACACTCTATCTGATTCATTCTCACTCTATCTTTCTCACACACATGGGAAAGGGAGGGAAGGAGGAAGGGAGGCGGAAGAGGGAGGGGAGAGAGAGGAGAGGGGAAGAGAAGGGAGGAGAGATGGAGGAGGGGGAGAGCGAGATGGGGGGAGGGGGGGGAGGATGAGAGAGGAGAAGGGAGAGGGAGCGAGAGGGAGAAACTAAGTAAGAGTGGGAGAGAGGTTGAAATTGAGTGGGTGGGAGGGGGAAGGAAGAGAGGGAGGGAACCATTGCTCTAGGAGCTGGAAAGGACAGTAGACATATATTCACAGCAGAGGAGGACATTTCCCCATCGTGTCTATGCTGGTGCTCGCTCCCTCACTGGAGCTCTCTACTCTAATCCCATTCCCTGCTCTCTCCCCATCGTGTCTGTGCTGGTGCTCACTGCCTCGCTGGAGCTCTCTAATCCCATTCCCTGCTCTCTCCCCATCGTGTTTGTGCTGGTGCTCGCTTATCGAAAAACTCCCATCATCCGACCCCTTCAGGAGGAAAGAGAGGGGCAGGGGAGACTGGGACTCTTATTGACCGAAGTACGGAGGGCAGTTTTTACTGCCTCAGACACGTGCCCTCCCTCATGCCCCTCTTCTGGGCTGTTCGTCTCACAGTCTGTGACTGAACCTGGAAGTGTGAACCTGCAGTATTCCCAGACCACCACACGATGGAGGCAAAGCATAGCAATTAAAGTAGCTAATTTTTTGGTCAGCCAGGTGCCCAACACACACGGAAACCCATCACCATGCTCCAGTCCCCAAACCAGACTGAGAGTTCCTCATATTTAATAACAATAATAATCCTTGCATTAATATAGCGCCTTATCATGTCTTTGAGACGTTTCAAAGCGTTTCACAGAATATACTGTAAAGTGAATTGACTGTGCCAATTGCGCAAATTGTTAATTTTTTTAAAGGGATTATTACCCCTGGAAAAGCGATCCACCAATCGACTAGCCATTGGGTTCCTACTTACTGTTTTGCCCCGCCTGGGAATCAAACCGAGTCCTCTTGTTTGCAAGGCGAGTGCTCTAACCACTAAGCTACAGGACTCCATATTTATGCCATCTGCACATGGAAGTGTATAGAATGGAATGTACATTCTCTCTCCCTGGAAGGATACATCCTTCTTATCCAATCCCAGGGAATATTAGCTGCAAGTTGGCAAGAGCCAAGGATTGGGGACCCCAGGGTATGGGGTAACTGCTGGTGTTACATAATATCCTTCACACAGAATAACACAGAGCACTTTACAATGGCTGGGGGAGGCAGGAGGCTGATCAGGAGGGGCAGAGGAGGAGGGATAGCAAAAAGACACAAATAGATTTTAACAACAACAAAAAAAATTGCATTTGTATAGAGCTTTTCACATCGGGAGGATGTCCCAAGGTGCTGGACAGAGTTTCAGACCCAAGCTGGGGGTCGGGGTTGGGGAGAATGGAGGGCAGGGAGATCAAAAGCATAGTTGAAGAGGAGGGTCTTGAGATGGGTCTTGAAGGAGGCAAGGGAGGGGGTGAGGCGGAGGGACTACGGGATGGAGTTCCAGAGGGTGGGGGCAGAGTGGCAGAAGGCCAACCCGCCAGTAGTGAGGCGAGCGAGGCGTGGGACGTGAAGCAGGCCGGAGCTCGCTGAGTGGAGGGAGCGAACAGGATGATAGGGGGTAAGGAGGTTACAGAGGTAGGGGGAAGCAAGACCATGGAGGGCTTTGAAGGTAAGGACCAGGATATTGAACTGTATCCTCTGTGTGATGGGAAGCCAGTGGAGTTGGGCGAGGATGGGGGTGATTGGGTGTGGGAGAGGACATGGCCTGCTGAGTTCTGGATCATCTGCAGGCTGTGAAGGGAGGAGTTGGAAAGGTTGGCAAGCAATGAGTTTGCATAGTCAAGCCTCGATGTAATGAAAGCATGTGTAAGGGTTTCGGCAGCCTGCGGTGTGAGAGTGGCCGAGTCCGGTGATGTTGCGGAGGTGGGGAAGGCAGAGCGGAGCATGGCAAAATGTGGGGTAGAAAGTTAAGGGTCAAACAAGATGCCAAGGTTCTGGACTGGCTCAGTAAGGTGGAGTGTGCAACCATAGATAGTGATCTGTCAGCGCCTGAGATGTGGAAGCGCTGACGGGAGCCAATCAGGAGAGCCTCGGTCTTGTTGACATTCAATTGAAGAAAGTTAGCTCTCATCCAGGACTTGATGTCTGACAGACATTCTGTCAGGACAGCAGTGGTCCTGGAGTCAAGGGTGGAGTCAGAGAGATAGAGTTGGGTGTCATCCGCATACATGTGGAAGTTGACCCCATGTCTGCGGATGATGATAGCAAGAAGGAGCATATAGATATTGAAGAGGAGGGGACCAAGGATAGGTTCCTGAGGAATCCTGCACAAGCCGATTGTGGAGATGAAGTGGATTTAAGGTGGGGATTGAAGACAGATTGAGAGAGGGAGGAAGTTTGAGAAGTTAGGTGTGTAGAATTGGAAAGATCGGTCACCAATTAGAATCCGGCCTGTAACTCACTCCCGGGATCTATTTTCTGGAGCTGGGTGGATGGAGAATGTTCTGGTGGGAGGTTGGGATGGGGAGTGTTGGGGTGGGAGGAATGTTGTAGGGCAGGTGTTATAGGTGGGGAGTGTTTTGGGGCGGGGGGGGGGGATAGTGTTGTAGTGGTGGGGTGGGGGAAGATGCCAGGCACTGCTGCAGTCTGCCACACAGACCCATTAGATTGCTGTCCTTGCCTCTCAGTGTCACGGTGCTAACCTTGGTGAGTAATGTCTCCCGAGGCCCTGGTTGTGATCGAGACACTGAGCTTTGCTGACAGGTTAATGGTTAGTGAAGAGGGGTCACGAGCAGGCCTGATTTAAATATAGATGAATCTCTACATTCTAGGAAAGCACACGTTCTAGGAAAGCACACGGACAATTGTATCAATATTGAGGGTAAGTGAAGTTGAGGGAGTTTCGGATACGCTCCGAGGGCAAGGACCGATTCATTACATCATTCCCAGAGACACTGTTATTATTAAGTGCTCCAAGATGCTACCCCGTGTGAAGGGTGCAATGTAAATGCAAGTTGTTGTTATTATTCCTCGTTGTGTATTGTAGAGGGAGAGTGACAGTGTAGAGGGAGCTTTACTCTGTCTCTAATCCGAGTGGCGACAGTACAGTCCAAGTTCTGGGAGCCCATCATTGGCAAAGGATTGAGTTTAGAAGTTAAGATAATCCTTTATAAATCACTGGTTAGGCCTCAGCTGGAGTACTGTGTCCAATTCTGGCCACCATACTTTAGGATGTTAGGGTCTTGGAGAGGGCACAAAGGAGATTTACCAGAATTATACCACAGATGTGTGACTTCAGTTAGGTGGGAGAGAAGCTGAGATTGTTTCCCAAAAAATTTTTACCCAGAGAATTGTAAAATCTGGAATGTCTGAAAGGGTGGTGAAGGCAGATTCGATAATAGCTTTCAAAAGGGAATTGGATAGATAGTTCTAAAGGAAAAAATTGCAGGGCTGTAGGTTAAGAGTGGGGGAGTGGGACTGATTGGGTAGCTCTTTCAAAGAGCCAGCACAGGAACGATGAGCCGAATGGCCTCCTTCTGTGCTGTAAGATTCTATGATTCTCTCTGGGCTCCACCTGCAGAAATCTTGATGTAG